ATTTGAGTGCAAAAGTAGAGCGATTATACTAAGTGGGAATGAGTAGTCTGAACTGAAAGTTCACCAAATAAACGGGGCTAATGAATGTACATGGAGCGATTGTTACAAACCTACACCAAGTACAGCTTTTAATTGATGGCCAAAATGTCATCAATTGGAGTGTTGTTATTTTCAATTGTCATGATAGAGTTCCTTTTTCCTCCATCTTCCCCTACTTTAATTTATTGCTTCTTCCAAAAATTGGTTAATCGTTAAACTAGAGACTACATCGCGATGGCGAAATTAATTAGAAAACTATGATATTAATTTGATGCTGATCATTGTCTTTTGGTGTTAATGTTCTTCTTTCACCCGGCCCCCGTAGTGTTTGAGATCGAAAGGTGTGCTATAAAAAAAAAAAAAAAGAGAGGGAAAAAACAGATGTTGACAAATGACAATCAAACTTCCAACCTTCATTTTTAACTCATGAAATAGACAAGTGATGATGTGAATTGTGAATGTTTATTTTTTTTTTCTCCATTTTGACAATTTTGATCTGCCATCCTTTTCTAATATATCTTTAATCCACGGGCCTAATATTTTCAAGGGAAAAAAAATGTCAATTGGGTCAATCAAACGAAAGAAGAACATGGTAGTATAAAGGTACATATGGATTATAATTTATATTGTCACTCTTCTTTTTTGCTTTTTTTTTTTTTTTGGTTGTGGTTACAAGTCATATATCTAGCTAGTTAACATAGTAATAACATATTAAATAGCACTACTACTACTACAACAAAATATGCACAGAATCCATACATTTTCAAAACTTCCCGTGTCAAATCTCCAGCTCATGGGATTCCTGGAGGAAAAAAATGTGGTAAATTAGCTCAGTACACATTGATTCACCTTAACGTTTCTGGTGCTCTTATTTGGGCGATTTCTAACGTGACAATGGAATCTAATTTCGTTCGTTCTCATTTCAGGGGAAAAAAAAAAGATCAACGAAAATATATGTCTCATCATTCCAACTTCTTTATTTTCTTAAGAATTCTTTTTTTTTTTTTCAATCAATATCTATAAAATGCTTATTTTTGGTGTGGTTGTTTTCGGACAAAATAAATTGCCCTTTAGATATGCAAATCAAAATAACCTGGAAATCGGTATCTATGCATGTCATTATTAAAAAACTCATCTTCCTAAACTTGTAATTAGTAATTAACAAATGACTTTATTACAATGTGTTTTTGGATACAAATAAAGAGCTCGTATATGTGGCAGATGCTACTAACACACTACACAATAAGCAAATCTTAGAATATTATTATATGTAATATTCATGTCGATTATGATAAATCTAATAATCATGACGATCCTTCGTAATCATACAGTGATAAGTGCGCCAGATCAAAATTTAGCCTCGTTGATATATCATATGTATATATATAACCCAAAACATGAAGCAATTAAGTCCTGATCATATTTAAGAACAATGTGAAATACTACCAGAATTTGACTTTTAATTGTTAGGAATGACTTGGCAAAAAGAAAAAGGTCGATGACTAAATTAAATGCCAAGTATTTTAGGTCGATCGGCATGCGGACTGATTATTGGTTAGTCATCCTTGGCTGATTACTACTCTCACTTGACTTAATAAGGGGCTCACCTTCTTGGACTTTAATTTTTTGCCTCAACGGCTTTCATCAGCAAAAGCAAACCAAAATATGGTGTGCTTTGCTATTTTTGGTTAAATAACTAGCCCACCAAACTAAAAATATGTTGGCATTATTTAAAAAAAAAAAATCATTTGTTTTTATTTTATCGTTCACATTTGTGTTTGACTCTACAATTAATAACTTCTCTTAGTGTGATTTTATTGACTCTCAGTTCAGTCACCATGGTCGTATTTTTATGGTTGTTATATTTGTGAATTGCCATCATAGGCGGACCTTATTTGAAGTGGTCATTCGCCAACAATTTATTCCCCTTTGAAAAAGTATTGCCACACCAAAATGCAAAACAATGTTTCTTTATTAATGAGTAATGTTGTCTTTTTTGATTGATTCATATATACATATTTGAATTGGACCTAATATTTATAAATTGTACATCTACCACTTTTCTCTCTAGTACTAGTACTGGTTTTTTTTTTTTTTTTTTGGCTAATTAATTCAAGATGTATGGCGAAAGAAACAAGGAAGAAATTAATGCACATAGAGTTTGGTATATTTCATGTGTCAACTAAATCATGTATATAAACACAAAAATTATGAGTCTGTATATGTGGGTCTTTCGGTTCAATATTCATGTATGCATAAGATGAAACTAAAGTCGTTCAACTCTTTAAATAAACAAGAGTAATGTTTTATATAAATGTAATATAATTAACGACCTTATCAACCAATGAGTGAACATATTTGAGTAAAAATTCAAAGTATAGACAATTTCTTCTTTTTTTTTGTATAATATCAATTACTAACATCTGACTCATATTAATAATCTATTTTGGGCAGGATACGATTTTTTTATTTTTATTTTTTTACATAGTACAACATATATCTTCAGTTATTCTTTTTTTTTTAATGATATATGCTCTTCTATTTATTTACATAGTACAACATATATATCTACAGTCATCCTTTTTTGTTGGACGCACATCTCATATTTGACGAGATTCAATCCCTGGACCTTAAAAAGATTTACTAACCAGTAAAACTAATTGTCATATTCACTCCGTCTCATAATTATTATCCAGTTTGGTTTTTCATTTCTAGTTCAAATTGTACTAAAAGTGAAAACTCAAACTGGACAATAATTGTGAGACAGAGGGAGTACATCTTAGTATCTATTCTTGATACTCTTCTATTATCACACAACTTATGAAACTACATATAATCACGTTATTAGGAAATTTTAAGTTATGCTTGAATGTTACAATTAGACTACCCTTTTTTGGACATGAAAAATGTTTTGGAACTCAACTTTTATAATGGAGGGAGTAATATGAATCTTCTGTTTCTTGCTTCTAATTCAAAAGACGTAAATGGCTAGCTTTTTATGTAGCTACATGGATAGACTATTTTTGTTCTTATAAGTAATTCAGAGCAGCCAGATAAATAAATATAAATAAATGTATAAAAGGGTCAGAAAGGACCAACCGAAAGCTGTAAATCCAACTGGATTTTGGTAATTTACTGACACCCGATGCCAGATTTGGGACATAATTTATGTTTTAGGAATCAGATTTAAATGTACTTGTTATATTAATGATTTTTTACGGACCAATTGTAGAGCTTATTTGTCTGAAATGACAGCATTCGTGGATCTGGGGTTAATTTAATACCAATACCAAATCTCAAAAGTGAACTTATAATTAATTATTTTGCAAGTGACAATTGAACAATATCCTAAATTGGATCTTCCCTTCCTCTCTGTCTCTCTTGGTGATTTTGATTGTTTTTGTTACTGTAAATCGTTCAACAATTACAAAAGAAAAATCTAGTCAATAAACTAAAACAATAAAACTGAAAAGGGAAAAATATAAATGAAGAAGAATTAAAAAAGAGTAAGAAATTTATTTCTTAAGAGATTTTGTTCTCTGTATCAATAGTCATTTACTAGATTTCTTTTTCTTTTTTTTTAACTTGAAATAGATAAAAATCAACGTAATATGGAAAGGAACAAAAACACTAGAAAGGAATACAATATGGATATAAACAAAACTTATGGAGCAGTAATAGTGTAATGCAAATAGACAATCTCTTATAAATCAATTTATTATTTAATCAAACTGTATTTTTATTTTAAATAAATTCAAAACAAATGATGAGTAAGGTTTTTTTCATAACCATCACTATTCAATGGTAAATGTTCAGTTAATATTTTCATTGTTAATATTTTCATTATTAAATATTTTGACCAACTGTCCTACCCATCGAAGTGCCTATAATTCAACGAGGAGAATTAGTCATTGATACCGACGGTGGACACCCTGTAAATATAAAAAATATATATATTTTCATTGTTAATATAAATTTTATTAAAAGACCGGAATCCAAATTAAACAATCATTTCGGACAGAAGTATATCCAAATCAAAAGGATAGTGATTTAAAAAGGGGAGAAAATCTAACGTATATAGAAATGCATGATTAGCCGTTACGCAGGCAATCACTTGGTTAGCCAAATGATATGGAGCTTCTCTACAAACGACAAAACATGGGAAATTAATTGGAAGGGAAGAAACAAAGAATTGGTTCTCTGTCCCAAAATATTACTCCCTTTGTCTCAAAATTATTGTTCAGTTTAAAATTTCGCTTTTAGTACAATTTGAACTAGAAATAAAAACTCAAACTGCACAATGCTTATGAGACGGAGGGAGTACTTTTAATTTTTATTTTCCGCCTATTTCTCTTAAGCGAAATATATACTCTATAAAATTTAAAACAATACATAAAGTACTAAACAAGACTCGGGAGAATGGAGTAATACTCTTTCTTCTTATTCTTCTTCAATTTTTTTTTTTTTGTTTTTGTTTTTCCAAATAAATTAATTGGGTTTTGTTTCGTTTACTTGCTTAGATTGGATGTTTTGACCATCCGTGATACTCTTCTTCAACGTCACATAATGGGTTATACCAATTAATAAGCCAACAAAATCCCTTGAAAATCTCAAAATACCCAATCTTGGCCCTATTTTTTGAATCTTATATATTCAAGTTTAAGTCCTTACTTACAAGAAAAAAGTGACCCCAACATATTTATTTTCAAAACGTTATTGAATTTTAAATTAAATTTAATTTTTTTGTGGCAATCTTTTTCTTCTCAAATGTGTCGCAATTAGGGTACTCTTTTATAACATAGTAGAACAAATTTTTAATATAATAATAATTACATAAATATGTGGACTCATTTTTGTAAAAAAAGGGAATATGCAAATATTTTAGAAGAATTTTAATGATCGAGGAATGTTATTTTATTTTGACAATAAACCAAAACTAAAGCCAAAAGTGAAAAGAAGATGGATGGTTAGGTAGGGATAAAATACCACTCAGAATGAGAAAGGAAAATAGTAGTAATAAAGAGAAAAAAAAAAAAAACACGCACACACACACGAACAGAAACTAGGAATCACGAAGGCTGCATTCTGGCAATTCCCTCGCACTATATAAAGCCCCCAACAACGGGCACATGTGAGGCAAACCACACCCCATCCCACCTTAAAACTATTTCTTCAACTCTTTAAACCTCTCTTCGTTACCGATTTTCTAGGATTTCCCCTCCCTTTTTCCTCAATATTATAAGACTCAAAGTCTGAAAAAGAGAGAGAGAAATTGCAAAACAAAAGAGGGCCCTTTTTTTTTATTGAATTGATTTGTTTGATCTGTTCGTGTTGCTCTGTTTCTTTGGAATCATCACCGTCGGGTCTCTGGTAGCTAATAAGAGCTTACTGTGACAAAAAGGGTTGAAGAAATTTTCGTCGCAAAATGGCTGCTCAGAACAAGAATGTCGGAATTCTGGCTATGGAAATTTACTTCCCTCCTACTTGTATCCAGCAGGTATTCAATTCGTACCTCCGGAAGCAGACGGCTATTAGTTTTGACTATTTGCATGTTTTAAAAAAAAATTAAATATCGAGAAACGAGTGAAAAGTTCTGATTTTTGTTGTTGGTTTTATCGATCGTTCGCTATTTTTTTTTTCTTTTTATAATGGGTTGGTTTAGGTATGTATGAATTTATTTTTTATTTTATTTTGGTGGAGTTTTGCCTTTATTACTATGATGATGATTCGAGTGGTTTCTTTGCTTTTCTAATTTCTGGGTCTCTCCGGAAATTTGCAAAGAAGGGAGAATGACGTCCAAATAATTATTTCCTTGCATCTCCATTTTGCAACATTTCTTTTTCAAAATCCAAGCTCTTCTTCTGCTCAGAAACAGGAGTTTTGTTGGGTTATTTAATCAGGCATGTGGGCCGTTGATTAATTTTATTCTCAATTTTTTATGAAGGGGAACTAATTGTAGTTAATTTCCTGCGGTTTCCTTTTGCCGGATTGCCATGACTGAAGATCTGTTAGCAGATTCTCTTGCAAAATTCATACATTTAAGTCTTTTCAGTCGCGGGTCCATGTCTGTTTAATATCCAATAAACTACCTTGAAATTTGTTTGGTTTTAAGATCTGTAACAATACTTACTGGTTGGATTGTACTTGGATTTCGGTACACAGAAGTTTCACTGTTAAAGTTTAATTCTTGTTGCAGGAAGTTTTGGAGGCTCATGATGGAGCAAGTAAAGGGAAGTACACCATTGGGCTTGGGCAAGATTGTATGGGATTTTGCACTGAGGTGGAGGATGTCATTTCCATGAGGTGTTGTGTTATGATTAATATTATTTGTTTACTTGCTGAATATGAAACTTTTGTGAGAGGATGCGTAGAGTACATTTACCTCAAGATCTCTCTTTTGTTTTTCAGAAACTAGTCCAAAGTGTTAAAATCTTCACTCTAGATGTGTATTTGTTGACAACACACTCTAACCAACGTAATATGCTTTGTCGCTGTCCTAAAGCAACCAGACACAGAATTGCGTGATTAATTATGTATATCATTGGCTGTGTCACAAACTTCGTTCCTAAACTGCAATTTTGAATTTCAGCATGACAGCAGTAACTTCACTTCTTGAGAAGTACAACATTGACCCAAAGCAAATTGGTCGACTAGAAGTCGGAAGTGAGACTGTGTTGGATAAAAGTAAATCCATCAAAACATTCTTGATGCAAATCTTCGAGGTATAACATGCCTTCGAGGCTCGCTATTTTTTGTTGTTTCATAATATTGGTTGATTTCTCCTCTCATAATTGATAACATGCAACTATAATATTATTTTGTGATCAACTCTAAAATATGCCCTGCTCCTGTTCAGGAAAGTGGAAACACTGATATCGAAGGTGTAGACTCGACCAATGCATGCTATGGTGGAACGGCAGCTTTATTTAACTGTGTGAACTGGGTGGAGAGCAGTTCATGGGATGGACGCTATGGGCTTGTTGTTTGCACAGATAGTGCGGTATGATTTTAACCTCTCAATATTTTCACTTAGTAGTACTGTTGCTTTATGCTTGTTAAGAGCGGCTTTCTCTGTTAAAGGTACTGAAAAATGTGCCTTAGCTAGTTGCACTAGAATCAATCCTTGGTGCTTTATGTTCATGGATGTTTCAAACTATTTGTTGCTGCTAGAACATTAGCCGTCAATCTTTTCATATCCACTCTGGTTTAAAGAGTTTCTAATATTGAAGTGTAAATATCTGTTACAGGTCTATGCTGAGGGGCCAGCCCGTCCAACTGGTGGTGCTGCAGCGATTGCCATGCTTGTAGGACCTGATGCTCCTATTGTATTTGAAAGCAAGCTCAGGGCCAGTCATATGGCTCATGCCTATGATTTTTACAAACCCAACCTTGCCAGTGAATACCCTGTAATTTTCCCCTTTCCTTGCTTCTCATTCTGGAGTCACTTTGAGTATCTACTGTGTTTCTTTTCACCAAACATGCAATAAGGGTCAATATTATTGTGCAAGGGTTACTCACTATGGATATCTTTAATTATGTAGCACTGGTTGACTGAATACTTTAGGTAGATTTTTGGGAGTTCCTGTTCCCTGGTGACACTGCTTTCAGTTATTCGATTCATCCTTAAAGCTCATTGAATTTGTATGCAAAGTTTTAAAAAGTTTTCAGTAGAATCTGCTTCACTCCCCATACTAATTAGCCATGCAACTTCTAGATCTCTAGATAGGGTGGATGAGATTGTTTCGCAGCTAGAAGATGGTAACTGAAACCTTTATGTATGCTAATGCAATGCATATTATTTGGAAAGAAAGGGTAACCCTTCCAAAAATTGAAATGTTATAGATCTCTTCTTTTTTCTTTTTTTTTCTTTTTTCTTTTTTGGAAAATGTTATGGATCTCTCAAGTGGCAAAGAAGTGGTGCAAAATTTCATTTTTGCCCAGTCTCTTCTCATTGGTCTCACTCTAATGTGAAAGTTACTGCTATAGGTTGTTGACGGAAAGCTTTCACAAACTTGTTACCTCATGGCTCTTGATTCATGCTACAAGAATTTATCTCACAAGTAAGGATCTGTGATACTGAAGCACGTTTTGTTATTGGATATTATAGATGGTTAATTTCATGCTAATCACTTCTTTCTAATCCGTAGATACGAAAAAATGGAGGGGAAAAAGTTTTCAATTGCAGAAGCTGCATATTTTGTTTTTCATTCTCCGTACAACAAGGTACCTTCAATGGCTATTGATTTTATGTTTTTTATGCTTGATTTTTCGTGCTGAAAACAATATTTTTGGAACAAGACCTTTGATTATTGATCTATTTTACATAAAAACCTGCAGCTTGTGCAGAAGAGCTTTGCCAGATTGGTATTCAATGATGCCTTGAGTGATGCCAGGTATATATTTTGTGCCAATTCTTTGAATCATAGTTTTACCTTGCTCCTCTTCTAATCACTGTCCTCTAATTGTAGTTCTATTGACGAGGCTGGTAAAGAAAAGTTGTCGCCTTTTTCGTCTTTGACTGGAGATGAAAGCTACCAAAATCGTGACCTTGAGAAGGTTTGTGTTTCATTACTTCACAGGGCTCCATCTAAAATTGCACCTTAAGTTCTCTAGAATATTTAGGATGGTAGGTTCTTTATCAGTTGAATGTGTCCCTATTCTCCATTCTTGGATGACCCTGAATCCAGATCTTTTATTTCATTAGTGGTAGTGAAATGATGTGAAACATGTGCAGGCATCCCAACTGGTGGCGAAACCATTTTATGATGAGAAGGTGGGACCAACTACTTTGATCCCAAAACAAGTTGGAAACATGTACACTGCATCACTTTATGCAGCATTTGCGTCTCTCATTCATAACAAAACTACGGCCCTGGTAAAGTTCAGTTAGACTCATATTTGGTTCTATCTCTTGATCACTAAGAAACATCAATCTCACCTCATCTTAAATTCGTTTTACTCTAGGACGGAAAAAGGGTCATTCTGTTCTCCTACGGAAGTGGCTTGAGTGCTACCATGTTCTCACTTCGTCTTCGTGAGGGTCAACATCCATTCAGCTTGTCAAAGATCGCCAGCGTTATGAATGTCTCAGAGAAATTGAAGTCGAGGCACGAGGTAAATCTATAATATCTTTTATGACTTCCAGATGATGTCAAATAAGTATAATTACGCTATTTTGATGGAATGATATCTGATGTCGTGCCGTGCCTTATGCAGTTCCCACCTGAAAAATTTGTCGAAACCATGCATCTGATGGAGCAGAGATATGGGGCAAACAATTTTGTGACGAGCAAGGACTGCAGCCTTCTAGCTCCAGGAACCTACTACCTCCTTGAGGTTGATTCCAAGTACCGCAGATTTTATGCCAAGAAGGCTCTTGCAAACGGATCATTGGCCAACGGCCACTGATGATTGTCTGAGCAGTCAGAACGCTATTTATGACAGAAAAGTTGGTTCTTGTGATGTAGTAGTAGCTATTATTTGGCCGCACATAGAATAAACTATTATGTTTTCCTAAGCTGTAGAGTACACATTAACAATAATTATCCTTTTTAGCGGGGTAGTGTTGTAAGTTAATGTTGATTGCATTCATGTATCCTTGTGTCCTCAATTTTATCACACTTCTTTTGTTTGTGATGACCCTCTTGGTAAAACAAGATCACCAATGTATTATTATTATTATTCATTTTTAGATGAATTCATTGAGCCCCTTTATGATTGAGTACTGGAAACAAGGTTTTGTTTTGCCATCTGGACTATTCCAAAATTTGTATGTTCATATAGCTGTCAGACCCATACTGCTAAGGAAATGCTTGTTATTTTGAACGGCTTACCAAAAACATCTCTGAAGCAATGTGACACAAAATTGCAGATCAGGTTCATTCTGAAAACAGGCATTATTTGCATGGATAAATATGACTCTTGTTTTAGGACGGATATATATAAACATTAATCGTGTGTCGAAATAACAGGTATTCATCTGATTAATCTCTCTTATCTGTATTGTGATTTTGTAATGAATAGGTGTAAAAGTAGGTAGGCCAGGAGTCAAGCTGTAGTGTGGGGGGAACAAGATTCGTGACAATATATTCTTCAGAACATGTTGTTTGTTCAATGTTGTTATACTATGACTTTGTCAAATGTTGTGGACCATCTAACTGATAATGACTCTGGACCGGATTCTGTATCCACCAACCATGAATTAAACCGCCTTGTCGTTGACCAACATGTATTTGGTTCAATTTGAAGTCCAGCTACAAATTTTTGATCAATTTTAACCCAAAAAAAACAAAGAAAAAATTTACCCGGTGAGCCAGACTTTGAATCTACTTGAAACTTCAAATTCGATTGGACTTCATAACTTGATTTGATTCCACGTCTAGTAGTATCACACTTGAAGTTGAATTATTTCATATTGTAAAAATTAACCTTAGTTTGGAATTAAAATATAATGCAACTACTGAGTACATTATGTGGTAATCTACTTCTTCTAAAACTAAAGTACCATTCATTTGCATGGCTAGATTTTCCTATAAATAAGTTGTATCTTCCCTGAGTGATTTCTTGACGTTTGATACATGTATGAAGTAGAACACCAACAATGGCGAACCAAAGAGGGATTTTCTACTTTGTATATGCTTTAGTGCTTGTTTCTTCCCTACTGTTGAAGTGCCAATGCGAAGAGAGAAAGGTACACATAAATTAGATTCGATTATGAAGAAAACCTAGTACTCCTCCAAATGATTCATTTCATTTTAATAAAACAAACGAAATAATCATACTAATTAAATTTGAGTTAGGTGATTAATATATGTTTATGGCAGATCTACATTGTGTATTTGGGAGAATTGCCTCGTGGTGGTGATGGAGATCATGATGGCACTCTAGCATCATCATTGGCATCCACACAGCACCATTCAATTCTCAATAACGTGCTGGGAAGGTTTGTTTGCTTTTCCAATAGTTAATTGTTCACTAATTAAGTGCAATTTTTTAATTACCCGAGTACGGTTTATTGAATAAAGAGGTTTTGAAATGGATTTGTTGGATTTTGCAGTGCTTCCCTACCACGTGAATTACTGGTGCATCAATACACTAGAAGTTTCAATGGATTTGCTGCAAGATTAACCACAGAAGAAGCTCAAAAAATATCGAGTATTCTTACATCATATTTAAATTACTACAATCTAATTAAACTAGATAGTTCTTCTAGTAGCTATAATTATATGAACGAATATCAGTTTTTTTTTTTTTTTTTTTTGACGTGATTCCAATTGTATAGGAATGGAGGGAGTGGTATCCGTGATTCCAAACCAGGTCTACCATATCCAAACCACCCGATCTTGGGAGTTCATGGGATTTGATGCCAATTTTCTCATCAATCATAACCCTTCTCTTTCTCACCATGGTGACGTGATTGTTGGAATCTTGGATAGTGGTAATTATTTATTGATATTGTGAATACTTTTCTGTGACCAAAATTGTTCCTCCCCTCTCCAATTATTAGTACAAGTTTAGTCTTTTTTTTCTTTTTTTCTTTTTTTTTTCTTGTGTATCTACTGAACTTACTGATAAACTTATTTATATGAGTAAATGATTTGACCTTGAGTGAGTTGTTTTGTATTTGTGTTGAAACTTTTCGAAATGAACTTCACAGCTAGTTCGGGATTATATATGATGATTTTGAGTCCAATACTTAAGAATAATTGAGTTTAACACTTTTGAGTTTTGAGAATGATTGGAAAGACTTTTCAAAAAATTGAAGATGATCCCGATTTGATTACATTAATCCTATTATTAATCTCCCATGCGATTTACTAGGTATCTGGCCTGAACATGAGAGCTTTGGTGACCAAGGGGTTGGTCCTGTCCCAGCTAGGTGGAAAGGGAGCTGTGATGGTTTAAACTTCACTTGCAACAAGTAAATCATTAACTCAAAACTCGTACTTCGTCCTGAAATGATTGTTTGGTATGTTTAGATTATTTTTATTTCTGACTAATAAAAATCAGCACTACAATCATTTCGGGAATGATGGAATATATACATACGCCAAATGCTAAATATCCTTTTGTTTTCTTCTCCTTCCATGATACAGAAAACTCATAGGAGCCCGTGCTTACAGCTCTGAAATGATGAACTCAACAACACCATTATCAGCAAGAGACGACGTAGGCCACGGCACGCATACTTCCGCGACGGTTGCCGGCCGGGAAATCGCAAACGCCAGCTATTACGGTATCGCGAAAGGCGTCGCCCGGGGAGGATTTCCTAACGCCAGGATCGCAATGTACAAAATATGCTCGAGTAATGGTTGTGATACCGCGGGCGCGCTCAAGGCATTCGACGACGCCATCGCCGATGGCGTCGACATCATCTCTATGTCTATAAGCGGAGATGATCCGTACCAGTATTTCAACGACGCTCTCGCAATCGGATCATTCCATGCCATGAAAAACGGCGTCTTGACATCCAGCGCGGCCGGAAACGCCGGCCCGTCTCGAGCCTCAGTTACAAATAATGCACCCTGGTTGCTAACCGTGGCCGCCAGCACTATTGACCGCGGTTTCAACACTCGGGTTATGCTTGGAAATGGACGATTTGTCAATGTAAGTTTGAAATCAATCAATCAAATTAGCACCCTTTATGATTTCCTACTCTGTTTTTGCTCTGTTTCTTTTTTTTTTTTTTTGCTCTGTTTCTTTGTCTGACTTGTAAAATGTGACAAAATTGAAGGGAGATTCATTCAATGGCTTTAAGGGGGAAACTTACCCTTTAGTATATGGAGGAGATATAGCAAATTATACAGGAGGCCAGGATCCATATGAAGCACGATGGTGCCTAACTGGTATCCTGGATGCTACAAAACTCCCCGGGAAGATCATCTTATGTTATCCTTACGCCCCTGATCTTGTCGACCTTCCAAGATATCTTCTGCATCATCATGCTGAGGGGGTCATCGTTGTTCCTACACCAACTCCTTATCCACTAACTAAACCTGAACTGATTAAATTCCCTTTACCAGCAACAACCATTACAGATGAAGATAGTCGCATAATTCTAGATTACATCAGAAGTACAGAGTAAGCAAGCAGCATTTCTACTTTTTGATGAAAGTCATCTTTTTTAGGGGACAACAATTGTACTAATTGATCTTGTTATTTCCAGAAATCCATTTGCAACTATCTTAAGAACAGATGAATATAAAGACCTTACAGCTCCAACTGTGGCTGATTTCTCTTCAAGAGGACCTAATCCTATTTCTCCGGACATCCTTAAGGTGACCTGACGAGGTTTAATTAATTTATACCCTTGTTTTCACTTCCAAGCCCTGTTTTCTAACTGAATTTTTCTTTTTTTTTCTTTTGACTATTAATTTGTGTTTTTAGCCTGATATTACCGCCCCCGGAGTGGACATCCTTGCGGCCTGGCCTCCAAATATACCAACATCTACCGTCAACGATTACGAACAAAGATTCAACTACAACATAGCTTCTGGAACCTCCATGTCCTGCCCTCATGCTACTGCTGCTGCTGCTTATGTCAAGGCTGTCCATCCTGATTGGTCACCTGCCGCCATTAAATCTGCCCTCATGACAACATGTAACCGAAAAAACCATCTCTTCAAGTTTTTTTACTTCCTGAACTTTTTGAGTAATTATGGAAAATGCAAAAAACTGAAATTTTATTAATCATGATTGTTCTTGTACCAGCATTCCGAGTGGATCCGAGAAAGCATGCTGAACGTGAATTCGCTTACGGAGCTGGTCATATCAACCCTGTGGCAGCGGCGGATCCAGGACTTGTGTTTGATGCTAACGAGACAGATTACATCCAGTTCCTTTGCAAGCAGCACGAATACAACAACACTAGATTGAAAGCTGTTACCGGCGACAACTCTACTTGTAACAATGTTGCTGCAGCTGGAAGAGGTTGGGATCTTAACTACCCATCTTTCTCCCTGTCGTTACTAGATGACCAGGAAATCAATGCTACCTTCACCAGAACCGTGACAAATGTTGGCAAGAAGCCTTCAACTTACAAAGCTAGCATCCAAGGTGTTGATTCATCAACCCAGTTCAAGGTTAAAGTGGAGCCATCAACCCTTGATTTCTCCACTGTTGGGGAGAAGAAATCATTCAGAGTTGAAGTCACCGGGCCGAAGATTCGACAGCAACCGATAATGTCCGTTCAGATAGTGTGGAAAGATGGCCTTCATGAAGTGAGGACACCGGTGGTGGTGTACAATTACATCCCTGGAACTCCACGTCGTGTGCACTTTGGTTGATTGACTGTTTGGTGGCTCTAAAGCACAGTGGTAGATTATATTTACTTCTTATTTCGGCTGATCTTTTGTAGGGTTAAGTGCCTGTTTGATCATACCACTTGCTTAAAATTATTTTATTTAATAGTACTTTTTCATTTTCACATTCTTTGATAACAAAAAATAAAACTTTTAATAAATTAAGTAGTACTGAAACTGTAGTACAAAAATGAAGAATAAAGTTAGTTTATTGTCCAATACAAAATATAAATAAAAAAAAGGTCTTATTTCGCTTATTTAGTACTCTCTCCGGTCCTTATTATAAGACATTTTGAGACATTTTGATTTCGTCCTAGGTTTCACCTAAGATGTCTTTTTAATTGAAATAAAAACCTTAAAAACATTTCACAATCATTAGGAGAACACAACGAATGTGAAAATATATTTTTAAAGTTTTTTTTCTAATTAAAAAAATATTTTAGGTTAAACCTAGAATGAAATTAAAATGCCTTATAATAAGGACCGGAGGAAATATTAGTGAGCATTCTAAAGCTTGATTTTGAGAGATTGGCCAAAGCTTCATTTTGAGAAGTTAGATTAAGCATGGCCAAAAAGCATGGCCTTTCTCTCTCTCATAGGTGTTCTGGATATAAATACTAATACATCCATTTACCATAAAATAAAATAAAAACACCCCCCAGTTTACAGTTTTTTTTTAATTATTATTAAGAGTTCAGGGCATCGAGTTCATTATTATCCTTGGAGCAATGATCACCTTTGTCTGCTCCTCAAGATTACAAGAACTTTAGGTTGATCCGTTGATATTTTGTTTGTACTCTTTTTCATCATGTAAAAATGATTCACATCATAAATTAAATTATTTTTACTCATATACTAGTATATTAAATTAATTTTGTGGACCGGAGGGACTACGTCTCTAAGATCTGGTTATGGCTAACAACTCTAGGATTAGTGAAGTTCCAGAGTTCATCCGATATCGTCATTGAGTTTGGTATGTTTACAATCTTTTCATATATGTATCGGTGATCGACATTGACCACCGGTCCACAATGTATTTGAGTTCAATTTGAGGTCCGGTTTGAAATTTTGGCTCAATTTGACCACCTATTAAAAACACTGTGAGCCACACCAGACTTCAAAACAACTTGAAACTTCAAAGTCGAATGGACTCCATAACGTATTCTTATTTGCACGTCTAGTAGTATTACCACTTGTGACTAATAATCTAATTCTTCTAAAACTAAACCACATCTCATCTGCATGGCTAGATTCTCTCTTACAGATAAGTTGTATATCTCCTACGTGATTTCCCTATAAAAAGTTGTACGTTTGATAGGTCAGAAGTAATTATTCACCAACAATGGCGAACCAAAGAGGAATTTTCTACTTTATCTATGCTTTAGTGCTTGTTTCTTCCCTATTGTTGAAATGCCAATGCGAAGAGAGAAAGGTACATAACAATTAGATTGATTAGGGAGAAAAACTTGTATTCCTTTCGTCACAAAATAATTCATTTTTATTTTAGTACCACAAACAAAACTACATAAATACTGGGATAAAAAAGATATGATTCATTTTTATTTTAGTACCACAAACAAAACTACATAAATACTGGGATGAAAAAGATACTAATTAAATTTGAGTCTGGTTATTAACAGTTTTTTTTTTTCTTTTTTTTGGGCAGGTTCACATTGTGTATTTAGGAGAATTGCCTCGCGGAGGTGATGGAGATCATGATGGCACCACAGCATCATCACTGGCATCCACACAACACCACTCCATCCTTAGTAACGTGTTGGAAAGGTTCATTTTTTCAATACTTTTTTTACTAATTAAGTGCACTTTTTTAAAAATAATAATAATAATAATAATAAGAATTAAGAGGGTTTGAAATGGATTTGTTGGATTTTTTTCAGTGCTTCGTTAGCGCGTGAATTATTGGTCCACCGGTACCATAGAAGTTTCAATGGGTTTGCTGCAAGATTAACCACGGATGAAGCTGAAAAAATATCGAGTAAGAAATACAAATTCATCCTACATATTTAATTACTACGATCTAGATAATTGTTCTATCTATATAAAATTACCTCCATCAAATCAATCCGTTTGTTGAAAGGAATAAAAGGTTTTTCTTTTCTTTTTTTTTCAGAACAAATGGAGTAAAATTTTAACCTTAAAGTTAATGTGGTTCCAAAAATGCAGGAATGGAGGGAGTGGTATCTGTGATTCCAAACCAGGTCTATCATATCCAAACGACCCGTTCTTGGGATTTCATGAGATTCAATGTCAATTCTCTCATCAATCACAACCCTTCTCTTTCTCACCATGGCGACGTGATTGTTGGAATGATAGATAGCGGTAATATTAAGTATTTATTTGTATTGAATATTTTGTGTCCAAAAATATGGATTTTATTGAATATTATGTGACCAAAATTGATCTAAAAGTAATTAGAAAGTTAGGATTACTATGTTTAGGTTATCATTTTTATTTCTTCAAAAGCCCTCCTGCTTATTTTAATTTTCCATATGTTTTTTTCTGATAGGCCCTTACCGATTTTTCTTTACATGTTATCTCTATTAATCATGTTCAAGTCGAAAAAATATATATTTCTCGGTCTAGTTTATATTTTCATTTTTAGTGTAATTTATACTAAAATTCAAACTGTACTTGACTTTGGGAGTTGTGATTCGGTATATCGTATGAAGATCAATTATGGTTTGAGTTCATTAATTAGTCTTGCTTCCAAGTTTGATGGTGATTTGCGTTGTGTAGGAATTTGGCCTGAACATGAGAGTTTTGACGATGAAGGGATTAGTCCTCCACCAGCTAGGTGGAAGGGAAGCTGTGAAGCTGCAAACTTCTGTAACAAGTAATTTAGCTGATCATAATATATGTATTTTTTGTTCACAAATCACATACTAATTCTTACCTTAATTCTCTTTGAACATACAGCAAAATCATAGGAGCGCGGTATTACCACATCAACGCAACATCACCAAGAGACCATGTAGGCCACGGCACGCATACTTCGGCGACGGTGGCCGGACGGGAAGTCGCAAACGCAAGCTATTCGGGTCTCGGCAGAGGCACCGCCAGAGGTGGATTTCCCAACGCCAAGATTGCAATGTACAATGTTATCGGGTACAATGTTATCGGGGGTGCTGAAGCTTACAGTGACGATATCCTCAAGGCATTCGACGATGCCATTGCTGACGGTGTCGACATCATCTCGATTTCTATGGGTTTAAATGGTCCATCCCCATCCAGGTATTTCCATGATGCTATTGCAATTGGAGCATTTCATGCCATGAAAAATGGCATCTTGACCTCAGCCGCAGCTGCGAACAATGGCCCGGAACGAGTTACCCTACAAAACTTTGCACCCTGGACGCTCACCGTTGCTGCCAGCACCATTGATCGTAAGTTTAACACTCGGGTTATGCTCGGAAATGGACGATTTGTCAATGTAAGTTGGTTCAATGATAGCATTTTCCTGCTATATATGTTTTTGTTCTGTTTCTTGTCTGACTTATTATATGTCAAAAAACAATATTGAAGGGAGTTTCAGTGAATAACTTTAAGGGGATTGCTTACCCTTTAGCCTATGGAGGAGATATAGCAAATTATACCGGAGGCTCGGATCCACATCTTGCACGCACTTGTAGTCCTGGTTCCATGGATGTTAACAAACCTGCCGGGAAGATCGTCCTGTGTTATCCTGGTGATCAGTACATTACTGTGTGGCTTCCACCACTTCAAGAACTTGATGCTCAGGGGGTCATCATTGTTGTTTCTACACTATCTGAAGCCATGAATTATCCTTTGCCAGCAACAACCATAACTGAAGAAGATAGTCACATAATTTTAGATTACATCAGAAGTACAGAGTAAGCAAATGAATCTTGTTTTCTTTTTTTAGATATATTAACTCGGGACAATGGTACTAATTACTTCTTGTTTCCAGAAATCCATTTGCAACTATCTTGGTAGCAGATGAACATAAGGACCTTACAGCTCCAACTGTGGCTTCTTTCTCTTCAAGAGGACCAAATGCTATTTCTCCAGACATCCTCAAGGTGACCAAAATATACCAGACCAACCCATTGACGTCTAACGTATAACTTTGCCTATTTCTAGATGTAACTGTGACAAACTCATCACAATCTGTGTTTTTAGCCTGATATTACCGCTCCCGGAGTGGACATCCTTGCGGCCTGGCCTCCAAATACCGGACCCAGTGGATTCGAAGAAGACAAACAAAGTGTCAACTACAACATAATTTCTGGAACCTCCATGGCATGTCCTCATGCTACTGCTGCTGCCGCTTATGTCAAGGCTGTCCATCCTGATTGGTCTCCTGCTGCCATCAAATCTGCCCTCATGACAACATGTAATGCAAACTATCTCTTCACTACTCTTAACTGTTACTTTCTGAACTTTTGAGTAATTCTGGAAAATGCAAAACTCAAATGGTAAAATTGCTCATAGATTGATCGTCTTCATCATCATCTGTCTTTCATACTGTTCTAATTACGATCACCTTTGCGACCCCAGCATTCCGAATGGATCCGAGAAAGCACGCTGAACGGGAATTTGCTTATGGAGCTGGTCATCTCAATCCTGTTGCTGCTGTGGATCCTGGTCTTGTCTTTGATGCTAATGAGACAGATTACACCCACTTCCTTTGCAAGCAGGGTTACAACAGCACTACCCTGAAAGTTGTCACTGGCGACAACAGTACTTGTAACAATGTTGCAGATGGAAGAGGTTGGGATCTTAACTACCCGTCTTTCTCACTGTCCTTACTAGATGACCAGGAAATCAATGCAACTTTCATCAGAACCGTGACAAATGTTGGTAAGCCCTCAACTTACAAAGCTAGTATCCAAGGTGCTGATGCATCAACCAAGTTCAAGGTTAAAGTGGAGCCATCAGTCCTTAACTTCTCCTCTGTTGGGGAGAAAAAGTCATTCACAGTTGAAGTCACTGGGCCAAAGATTTCACAGCAACTGATCATGTCCGTTCATGTAGTGTGGACAGATGGCGTTCATGAAGTCAGGACACCTCTGGTGGTGTACAACTACATCCCTGGAGCGCCATATAGCTGACACCAGCACGGAAAGCAATACCAATCTTAAGAACGGATGCTTCCAGATTTCAGATTTGGGGAAGGCCTTGGTATTTTTAGCTGGTCGGTGGATACTTTAAACTAGTGTTAGTTTGCTGCATTAAATCTTCTTCTGATCTTCTTCTGTAGTCAAATAATGATTCTTAGAATCTAGGTTTAGCTAACCTCCTAGTAATTCAGCTTGGTTCCATCGACTTCTAGGTGTTCGGTTGCAATTGGGAGATCTCTACGTTCTTGCAGAGATCGTCAAATATAAAAGCTTCTTGAAGAACAATTTCATTTATAACAGCATTGACATCTCACATCTTATGTTTGCATCTGTTCATTTTTGTTCAGTTCTCCTATAGTCCTATCTGTGTAAGCTAATCAGAGCGCCCCATGTAGGATAAAAGATCAACTTGAACATTAGAAAACCATTTTCAACACGCCATACTTTTGACTGTTGTAAATCTTGAATCATGATAAACTCATTTATTAGTAATCCAATCAATACAAATACAACAATAGTAAATACACAAGGGTAAATCATAAAAGACTGTCTAAGAAGAGCAACCATATGAGGAGATTATCTTGGACCTCATTACTGAAATAAAGAAAAAGAAAAAGACCTCAATGATCTAGCTTTCAAGCAACAGGGGTCTTTTGATTTGGTTTGAAAACGTACTTCAGGAGGGACTCCTTAATGGGTAGGAGTTCAGGAAATTCCTTGTTCAGTTTTGTCGCATCAAGTTCATTATTACTCCTTGGAGCAATGATCACCTTTGCCTGCTCCTCAAGATTAAAGTTCTTCCAGGTGAACTTTGGGTCAATGTATTCTTTGTACATCTCTAGGATCTCGTTATGACTAACAACTCCAGGATTAGTGAAGTTCCAGATACCAGTGAGGTTTCTTTTCGCCATCTCGATGGAAATGGGGAGGAGTTCATCCAATATCGTCATTGAGTTTGGTATGTTTACAACCTTTTCATATCTTGTGATCTTCGTAATGAAGTTGCGGGGATTTTCCAAATCAGATGAGATGGGCATCCGGACACGGAGAGTGCAAACATTCTCGTAATTCTTAAGCAAATCTTCTACCTGTCAGAGACGAGGACTTGTTAAGTACCATTGGTAACTGACAAAAACCTTCCGAAACTCTATTCTGCCATAATTTTGATAGTTCAGAGCAATAAAAAATAACATAGAAAACTTGGTCACAAAATATGCCATCAGCTAATCCAGGAAAAGGTTTCAAATCCAGCAAAACCAGATCAAAAGACAACAGAGTTGATGAATATTCCATCTCACTTGCACAAAAGGATTCGCGCATAATAGTCCAGAACAGAATTTCAACTTATAATGTAAGAGAATGCCACCAAAAGTTCATGAATGGCTTGAGTCAGCCAAATAATAATGGGTAAACTGCATATTGATAGTATGCAGACCAACTTCACTTTTCCTAAAAATTCCAAAAGCAACACGAAGGTCCAATTCAATTACCACAGGCTTAATGGCCTAAGTAAGAAAATTCATGAACCATCCAGCTACACCGTATTTATTATAAATTCTCTCTCCCTATTGGACTAGGATTGTTCAGATATCAAACTCTAGTTTAGAGAATTTTTGTTCATGAATGATTAACATTAGATTCCGGTGGGAACAGATCTTCTCATGTATCTTTTGTTCAACTCTCATTTGATTTCCCAAGGTTGGAAAAGAGGCCATATTACAGTATTAAAACAACTTAATCAGCAGCAATGCAATAAAGGTTTGCTTCATTTTACCACAATGATTAACTTATTCAAAACTCTACATCTCAACTGCAATCCTCCACCCCCACAACCAAGCTTGAATGAGTTCACAAAAAGAGAATCACATCACATCTGTTCAGCATACATCAGTGATAGTGTGAATATATAAAACAGTCTACAGAGTATTTGCCTCAATAGCTCAATCAGTGAAGTATTAATCCAGGATCCAAAAGACAAAATCCCAGATCCCACAGCAAAGTTTATATGATGACCAAACAATATTAAAAATAATAGAAAAAAAATTCATTCTTAATTCAGCAGGCTACGCTACTAGCCTTCCAGATATTTTTTGGTAGTAAAAGTTAACTGATAAACTTTCTATTTCTTTTACTTTTCCCTATCAACATAAAAATCATTAAATGCATAAAATTCAGCTCAATAATTTGTTACTCTAGAGAGAAGAACAAAAGAACAGCTAAAAATATAGGAAACGGGAGAGAACCCACCATGGCTTTAGTCTTGGAATAGAAAGATCCGATGAAATTGGGCTTGTCCTCCTCCTTGAAACCGACACCCGAACCGAGAGGATGACCTGCGTCGTACTCGAAAATGCATCCGGTGGCATAATTAATCAAGATCAAGCTCTTCTCCCTGCACACATCAGCCAACGTCAGCGTGCCGACAACGTTTGTCCGGATGGTCTCGACCTTGTGGGATTCGCACCAGTCGACGTTAGGACGGCCGGTGACTCCGGCGGCGTTGAAAACATGGGTTGGGTTGACATTGGCGATGTCATTTTCAAGGGAAGCCCGGTTCTCCAGCCGGCCCGACCCGTAAACGTAGTCGATCCCTTGAGCTTCACAGAGCTTTCCGAGTAGGCCACCAATCCAGCCAGTTCTGCCGTAGATCAGAAACTTGAACGGCTTGGCTTCAGCTGAGCCGTTAGCTGGGAAACCCATGGTTGAAGGAAGAAAAGAGAGTCGGGAAATGGAAACAGAGCAAAGAAGGAAGGAGGAGGATTTGGAGCAGAAATGATAACAAGTCTCAGTCGGTGTTTTTATTACACTTTGGAAAACTATCTATATTTATAAAACAAGTACCCACAAGTTTGTTTGTTTAATTTAACTTATTTATTTGGGTGCACAAGAAATGGATCTTTGGATCTAGTGTGTGTTTCAGTGAGTGTATATTTCCTGGAATCTGGGCTACATTTTTTCCTTTTCGTTTTTTCTTTTTCCAATTTAGAACGCGTTAATTGCAAATAGTTCCCTCAATTTTTTTTATATATCTGTTACATGTTGATGTAAATGTCACGCTCCATTCCTTTTTGGTTTTATTTATTCATGTTTGAACTTAATTCTTCATAAGAATATTGATAAAGAGTTGAATCTTCAACCATGTGTTGCAAGCAAATAGAGAGCCCTCACCTGTTTGAGTCCCGAAAAGACAATAGACAATCGAAACAATTAATCAGAAAGTTAAAAGAAATTCAAAAATAAAAATAAAAACCATGTGATACGGTTAATCAAGATACTCTGGTAAGGTAAATGTATTTTATTCCAAATAACTGAAGGCATAGTAATGCTTTCAAAAGGTTTAGAAAATAAAAAATTTGGGCAGTGAAATGGAATGTGCTATAAAAATAATGTTTCAAGGATTGCTGTGAAGGAAAAGGAAAAACTGGAGGGCGAACCTTCCAATTAATCAATACACGGTTGTTAGGAGAAGTGGTGACGTCAGTGAAGATCTGGAGAGCATGATGACAAGTAGGCAGAGCAGGTCGCATGTTGTGGAGTAAATGGACTTTTTTTTTTCTTTTTTTTTTTTTTTGGTGGTTGCAACTTAAAATTATGTGATTTGAAACGTTTGACAGAGTGATGGGGCAGTTTTGTTAACCAATGTTCCCTTGAATCATTGGCAATTATTTCTCAGATTGAACTTACTAAAGTATACATAGGATATGTAATCGTTTTGTTTTTGGTTTTAGATTTGAAATTTGATTTGCAAATATGTTTTCAGTGGCAGTTAGAATGGTGTATAAAATATGGATAATTTCTTAAAATGAAATACTATTTTTATTAGTAATTATTGAATCACTTATCGTCACCATCATATTATTACTCTCTGTTATCGAATAACTCACTTTAGTCAAATTCCAACTAGTTTGACTATGAACTAATTGGAATTCAGCAAGTTGGTGATTTAGCAACAACGGTAGGATGGTCCGGTGTTGATGATTAAAAAATTAAAAATAGGAAAACAAAAATGAGTTTGGAAAAATTGTATGGTATGAAATGAATAGCACATTTGCTGTTTGATTTGGATGAGTGAGATTGAGCAGTTCATTCACACAAAAAGAAATTGAGTAATTCGAAAAAGAAAAGGGCCAAAAAAAGCACAGTGATGATAAGCAGGATTACATGTTCGACATTTCTACGAAGATGAAGTTATGTGATTGTAGTGCATTTTTTGCTTTCGATATTCTTTTGTTAAGTCTTTAGTAATCAGGAGTTGAATAGCAATTTCACACTCCTCTGAATTCAAGCTCAAATTCTACGTACAAATAAAACAAATCATTTTTGGTACTTTAAAGTTAAACCGGATCTGTGATTTGTGAAACCTTAAAAAAAAAAAAAAAAAACTTTAAAAAAAAATAATGACATGCATATACCAAGTGCTTGTGAGTAATTCCAAATTTCGTAGTAAATTATTTAGCGTCATTCTAACTTTCTACTTAGAATGCAGATCCAATTGGTGGCAGATTTTAATCCTATGAATTATGATATTGCACGAACTAAAGTCCACATAATGTACAGATCCGAAAAATATTGCAATTCTTTAATATGCACATGTGAAGATATTCCTATGGCCGATTTCCACCATTACTAAGTTATTAATAAGAAACACTTTGAAGCTCAAGTCATGTGATGGCCAGGCAGTAGGATACCTATCAAGAGATCTTGCACATAGAATTAATGGATCTTCTCGGCATAACAAGACGACTATACAAATCTGAATAATTATCTAATTAAATGAATTATTTTTATGAGACGGAGAAAATATATAATTTGATCTAAAATATTGTATATACGGGTCGTGGCCCTCACTTCTAATCTAATTTGACCAGAACAAAGCAGTTTGAATCCTCCAGATGAACAAGTCAATGAAGTGCTCGATGAAGTGGAGATGGGCATCCAGCAAAACTAGCTGCCATTGCAGTCAATTGTTCGGGCAGAATTGCCTCTGGACTTCTTCATACGAGTTGGTTTTTTTTTTTTTTTCATCTACTCAGATTTCAATTGGTCAACAGGCGAGCTGGAACATGTTCGATTCAAAGTTCAGCAAGCAAATTGTCAAATTCTAGTGGGCATGTTGTTTATCTTTCATTATCTTCTGAATCTTTGATAAAATGAAAACACCATCCGACATGTAGCGCGCACTATCAAATGGTACAATATGTTGCAGAATGGCTAAAAATCACATATTTTTGGAAGATGCCAATCAAAATTGAAACTTCATTATTAGATACAAAACTCTGAACAGGACCCTCAACCTACCTAACATACCCATCAACATCTATATAACCAATGTATATCAAAATTAATCTCTGAAAATCTAAAACAACTGCCAAGAGGAAACCAAATGGACTAACAAAGACTCTACTGCTGCATTTAGACAATGAAGGCCCTGCTTGTGTATCGCAGTATGCTATTTGATTAGATGGTAAGATTTTCCTGAAGGCCAAAAAAGGTTCCAACTATGTTACCACCCATATCTGGAAAAGTTTCACTGCCACGAAGGGGTGACACTTTTCCCTTTTCGTCTACTGCAACAGGATACTTCAGGAGGTGACCCCTAATGTCGCTTACTTCATCAGCCGCATATTGGGCCCAATTCAGCTGACTTAGTGCTCTTACACGTCTAACACATTCCAAGCTTTCAGGTTGCTCAAAGCCATGCTCCAGAAAGCCGAGGTGCTCAGCCCAGAGCGACATTCTGTAGCCATATATCTGCATTCATGTCCACATTTTAACTATGTTAATTCAGACATCTTGAGTTCTATGTGAAGCTCGGCAAGATCCACACAGCAACGATAACTAATCACATGATCTTACATGACTCACGAAAAACAGTAAAGTTTATGGCATCCTAAAGTTTCAATGAAGCCCTCTCAAAACAAAACAGTTATCAGTCACTTTTATAATACCTGTCCCTGTGGCCTGGTGTGCTTTGTAGCCCAAGTGTATTGAGGTTGATATGCACCCATTGCAATTTCAGTGTCTCTAGTCCCCTCCAGTGAGCGTTGGTTGATGTTTGCAGATCCCAGGATCACATACTCATCATCAACTATCATTCCTTTTGAGTGAACATATATCATAAATCTACGGCTTTTGTGAGAGTTTACCTGAAAAAACAAAGAAAAAAGAACAGGAGATTGAAATCAACGTGGAAGTTACTCATTATGTGATCAAGCCATCATATGAAGGAGAAACAAACGTACTTGGGGAGTGTTTGCAGGAGCAGAAGGCTTCGGCTCTGAATTTTCACCATATATTTCGGTTTCGCGATTGCCAAGGCAAAAGAAATTCAGGAAATCTTGGGGTTCATATGTCCTCTCAAGTCCTACCTCTACTAAAGCTTTGTAAATAATATCATACATCATCTGCATTGTATTATGCTGCACCATGAAAAATAAAGAAAAAGTTCATTAGACTAAATCTGATCAAAACTTGATCACTAATATAACTCGTTTAAAAAAGAAATCTTGCTTCCATAGTTGTTTAGTACGACCAAACATTTGCGATCAAAACAGTAAACACGTTTGGTTCATAAATTATACTATGTGGTATTGAACCCTAATATGAAAATATCTGCTCATTCGATCAACAAGAGTCAAGACCAGAATCTCAAGATAAATGACGTGTGATCTGATTCAAAATGATGTGCTATTAAATTTACCTGCCAAAAGAGAATTCGCTGAGTTGCAGTACTTGTAGGAACACCTTCGGGCCACATTGGGAGAACAATATAGGCTGCAAATCTCTCGTTTGCTCTGATTTTGTTAGCAATTTTGAGGGCGATTTCCATGGGTATTAAGTTATTTGCACCTGCAAATACAGAAATTCCTTGTCATCTAGTCCATGGCATATTATTTACATTCATGTCCAAGGAAAGGTTAGGATCCTCTCCACCCCCAATATGCATCTCTAGGAATTAGAGGAACAAAAATGGGATGGGAAATGGCAAAGTTAATAGTAGATAGGACACCCCATATATGCGGCAATAATTGGTAAATAATAATTTTATTCCTTTGCTGCTTTATGTATAATAGGGATAAGTTCTGTGACTATAAGACATATAGATGATTGAATTCCCAGCTGAGTTAAAGCATCACAACCCTTACCTAGATCTTTATAATTAGCCCAGTTATATGATGATCCAAGGAAGTACTGGTTCTCAATGTAAATGAAATGTTGGGCAGCTCGGATAGCCTTCACGTATGCCGTATGTATACTCATATCAATAAGAACATTCTTGCCACACAAGAGATTCTGTAGTTATTACAGAAGGAAAATCGGAAGTCAATATTTTAGCAGTCAAATCTTGTTCAGGCTATAAGAAATCGGTAACCATTAAATGATGCTCACCTTGGTTGTCGCATCTTTTGGATCTTTTGGAAAACCTTTCACAGAAGAAGAATCGATTGAACGGAAAACCTAAGTGGATGGAAAGTAAGCATGAATGGGAGACAATAAATTTAACCAAGTACTGCCAAACTGAAATTCGCTTATACCTGCACGTGCCAACCCTCTGGATTTTCTTCATATAAAGCAGAAACTTGTTCAATCCCTAATATATCAGGAATTCTGTCAAGCTTCAGCAGGGAATCATCATATGAAGCTTTCATCTTTTGCAATCCATGTCGCTTGGAAGCTTTTATCCAGCGCTCCTCAAAGTTAGTCAAGATGTCATATGCAGCTGGACCATCAATTTGGCTATGTAAATCATGCCACGGTTCTCTGGGGCAACCAGTAGTAGAACCCTGAAAAACAACACATGAGAAAGACGAGGAAGATGAAACTAAATTGCTTCTTTACTATCAAATAATTCTAAATCCTCTTTGTAAAAAAAAACTTTAAGCGCTGTACAAAAGACCACTTTTTCCCAGTAATATAAAGGGGTCGTACTTGACTGTTATTGATACTGCCAAACAAGTATATTGGTATTTTAGTGTACCCAATGCAGTTGCATGAGCATTTCTGCTGTGTGCAGGCAATGCAAATGTACTAGCCCAATGGTTCTCCTGATGATCTATAATGTAGTTACCTTCGACTAACATATTCAAATTTCATTTTAGAGAAGAGCTACATTACAAGGTATTTACATTATGCTGAAATCTGGAGTGGAAATTGGAATAATGCCAACCAAATATCTCTGCCTCACTAAAGTAAGATTACCGTGTAATTGGGATTATGGAAGTCTTCTTTGTGAACAGTTTGTAAAGTTCGAAAAATAGGGTGCTGTGGTGTATCATATCTCCCTGTAGTTAAATCAAGACCACCAATAAATGCTATGATTTTCCTCCTGTAGTCACCGACATCAGCATCTACAATCACCGTCTTCTGATGATGAGTATAGATTGTTCCAACTTCCTGGTAAAAAGAGAAAAAACACTCAATCAGGAAAAGACAAGCATCAAATGCAATAATATAAGGTCAATCAAGAGCTCATATGAAGAATTTGCAGAATAAAATTGTCGTAACGTAGAACTGATCACAATTTGTTTGAAAGTATCATAACAATGATCCATATCAATAGCTTTCAACAGTGCCCATGGCCGTGGTGCCAAAATATTGGCCCATTCTCTTTCTCACAAACTGTTCAATATCGACACGAACTGCAAGACGTATGTTTCTTATATCTGCAAGACAGAGTCTTGGACCAGAATACTTATCATCTACAGACTCTTGCAGTACACAAGTTGAATTTTTTACGAGTATCTTGGGTAATTGATGCCATTTCAAAGGCTGCCAAATAAAGAAATCATTGAACAGATGTCACCAATTATTAACCTTCCTTATTTCTACATCTTGCTTCACATTAGCAGAAGAACAGCAATAAATTTTCTTAAAACTACTAATCCGGTTCCCATAATCTTATACTCTGTCTACACCAAAGCCTTTTGAACCAGTAAACACATAACAGAAAAAAATAGATTGGCAAACCTGTTTTTTGACCCAACTATGCCCTTTTCCAGCAGAACGAGGACAGAGTAACACTTGGACTGAAGAATGCTTGAAAAATCGTCGAGTTTCTTCATCACTGGTATTCATTACCCCCTCCTACAAATCATTGAGATATGGAAGTCATGATAAAAGAGATTTAAACTACAAAACCACTGCAAAAGCAAAGTTTCACATCACATCAAACAGAAAGCAGTAGAGACAACATCTTCTATTTGAAAATTCTTCATGGAAAAGACATGGTCTAATGTGTTTTCAGATCTGTGATGCAAAAATGGGCAATAAACCACAACAAAATTCAGATATATTTCAAGAACAAGAACTAGATCCCATGTGAAATGAAAGTTTAACAAGTAAAAAGTCAAACCATGATGGTTCAGAAACTTTTCACTTACAAAAGAAATAAAACTACACGGCAACTCTTAAGAGGAATAAAATAACAAGAATTTTTCTGCATCCAAAAAGCTCAACAAATATGGTTGGCACATATGCGCAATGGTAATTTTGAAAGTTCAGTCTTATGAGGCAGCTGTAAATGGCCAAAAGGGGCATAACCTAACCATCAAAAATGTACACATAACAGTACCAAGCTGAGCACATAAAGAAAGGAAGTTAAAATAGCCATCAATATATGAAATACCTCATCAGCAACCTCAGTACTTCATGAAATAATCAAGTGAAATCTATCTAACAAGCATACTGATCGCACAATTTCTTCAGGTTCAGGATCATTAAAAGGGAGGGAAATAAAAAGACTATTCTGATAGAAACAAAGATATGCAAAGTAGAAGATAAAAGTACAAGGTTCATACTGTTTTATATCCCAAAATGCTCCGAGAAGTAGGATCATCCCAAACTAGAAGCAAGACTCTCACGCCTTCTTGAGATTTCGCTTTAAGAAGGTCTCCAAGTATGCTCTTTTTGCTGTCTTCAGTATCTCGAACAAGTGTGACTAGATGATAGACAGACCAACCAGTTATATAAACCAGACGTTGCGCCTGACTTATGGCATTGAAAATGTCATGCCAGCAACGTCCATGCTGATACTCCACACCATGGTCAAGCATTAGATTTGGAAGGCTTCCTTCATGTACATGAGCATCTTGATAAAGGGTAACTGTTCCTCCTCTTCTTAGGGGAAAATATGTACCAGGAACACCCTCATATTCAGGGCCTGCACCAACTCCATGATAAAGTGGAATTCTCTCTGTTGGGGTGTATTGGATTGACAAATTTAAGACAGCTCCATGTTTACATGGCTTGCCATTAGCACTAAGAACTGGAAATTCACCCTCAATCTTTGCACCAGAAAACAAATCTTCTACTGGAATCCCAACTGCCCCCATGATTTGAGAGCCTACGACATCACTATCCTTAACGACAAAATGCACCTCAGCGGCATAATGGGCAACAGGAACATAAAAATGCTGCATCCAAACAGGGTTCTCACTGTTTCTAATCACATAAGTCCTGGCAATCACTGCATTCGAGACCGAAATGGTTACATAAGGATCACTTGTATTTCCACGGCCTCCGTCTGATTTCCCACCAATTTTGAACTTATCAATGAAGTTTCTGTGGAATTGGTCCATATTTGGAAGATTCCTGGCATCCTTAACCCAAATGTCCAAATTACCATGCAACAATAACACCCTCAATGATCCCTGAGAGGTCTTGAATGGTACAACTTGTACACCTTGACCATGATTGGATTTATCTTCATACATTGAATCGGAATGGCTGAAATGAGACATTTAGCTTTTTTCCCAGCTGTGAATAAGAACAACGAAGAGGCAAAACCAGCTTTGTTAAAGAAGATCAAACTTTGACAAATGCCCAGATCAACAGAGGCACCAGAGCTGCTTCTTATCCAAAGCCCAACACAAATTACAGAAATATAATTCAAGGAAGACTTTTATCAAGCATTCGAGGGGCGGAACCGATGAACAAATTAACCTTAAGAAACCCAATGAAAATAAAATTTCCCAGGCGATCAAAGATTTGTTTTTTTTTTAATTTCTTCTTCTGGGTTGGCTTTTTAAATGTCAAAGAGCATCCCCACAAGTGATCTGGAAAAACACAGATGACTTGTGAGGATTGTTCGAGGAAATAGGAATCTGAGAGATGACCAGTGTGACGAAAAGGATTTTTACGTACAATACAATGTAGAAGACCAAGTACGAGGCAAAGACTAATGACAATAAAATAAAAATGGAAGAAAAAGCAGATATTGGAAGAAGATGATGGCGGCTTGATGTTGAAACAATTTAGAAGAAGAAGAAGGAGAAAAGTCCACAGAAGCGAATAATCCCTCCATTGGCCATCATTAAAGAAATCATCAACCAAGTGGCCGAAACTCCAAAAGGTTGAATTACCAACGGTAATCAATTTCTAAAGAAAAACAATACTAGCAAAGATCCCATTTTTCATTTTCTTTCTTGCCTTTGGTTGGCCTCCAATTACATACATTAACATACTACATTATAGAGTATATAGTATGTTATTATAGAGTAAGCAATAATCATTCCGTCTCATTATAATGTCTAAACGAAATGAATTCTTTAAGAAGATGGATGTGACAAATTTTGAAATCTGTGTTGCTTGCATTTAAGATAGTTGGATAACGTATCATTTTCAAGTTCAAATATTTTTTGATAATTTCATGTGCTTCCAACTGGGGAGAAAAAGACTGTAAAGTCAGCCGGCAGAATCACGAGGATGATATAATGGTGGTTGGGACTAACGATTTAAGGTATTAATAATCATAATAATAATCACGATCAAAAATGGGTTCTATTTGGTTGTACTATTTGTTATTGTTTTTGTACCCCCAAGGAAGTTTTTTCTTTTTTACTTATTATAAAAGAAAAAAAAGCCAACAGATACGAGAGGATATTGTTTTTAATTTCTCAAATTTGACTTTGTCTTCTCGTACTACTAAAACCAAAGAAGAAGCTAAAGACTTAGTGGAGGAACAATACTCAGATTAATGTATTTCTTATGCAACCAGTAGAAATGGATCAAACGATACAATTTGTGCAACGAATTGGTCAAAATCTATCACCACCATTATAAACAATTTTACTCGCTTGCTGGATCACAAAGTTTATGATTTGCAAAGGAAGATTGACAAGATGTATATATGTATAAAAGTCGTAATTTCTCGGAACAACTTGGAAAAATTGTGCCATCAACAAGAATAGTGAAAAAGATTACCTATAAGATGAGAGACTCATCCACCACAGTCAGGTGTGCGACCCGGATCAATCAACGGATTAGTTGGGGCAAAAGCTCCGAAACCGCAAAAAAAAAAAAAAAAGATTACCTACTAGAGTTTGTAGTGTCTCATCAATGCATTCTATATGTCGATTGATTGAAATTGTAGCAGACCCCTCTACTTATGGACTAGGTTTGGCTGGATTAGGCGATCTTTTTCTCATAATCGAGGTTGCTTATGGTAAATCTCATAAAAATTTCTCTTCATCTGCCCCATAAAAACAAGGAAAGATACATAAAAACAATAAAAAATTGCAAATAATTATAAGGGGTAAAAGAAAAAGGGGAAATTGTTAAGAAGGGCGTTGGAAAAATCAAAATTATTAGGTATTAAGGGCGTTACTATTTTTTGTTATTTTGATAAATTTTTGAAATATTTTTGATACTATCTAACACTCAAAAAGACTACGTTATCCTTTTTTCTTGTTCTTTTTTTTTACCTTTACTTATTGTTCTCCCCCAAGCAATAATTATAACAAAAATTGAAAATTGAAAAAAAAAAAAATGATCGCGTCCACAACAATTCTGTTCCATTTCTCCATTCAATTCAGAGTTTCATACTAGAGTGATGAGTTAAACCATTTGAATCAGAAGTGCCTTTTCAGTCATCTCCTATTTAATTTTACCTTCATAATCTTGGCTTGGTTCCAATTTAATATCGAAGACTTGAACTTAAATGGAGCCCTAATTTCGATTAGGAATTGACAGCCACAGAGCTTCTTTTTTATGCAATCTGAATTAATTTATGATGTATCAAAGTCCTTCTTTACTCAATTCTGAGTGTCTGGATCCCAATATTTCAAACTCCTCTAATAACATTATAAGAATCAGATTGATCAAAGTATTGTTAAATTCCCTTGAGGTTTCATTTTACAGGCTAACGAGCACCAGGAAACCTATTTATGAAGAGATTTAACAGCCAAGAAAAAGAAACTCACTCTATTATTGTGACATGAAATGATTAATGCCAACCTTCATCATCGAATCTAATAGACACAAAATGGCTTAACTTGGGAACGATATGTAGACCCGGAATTCTTACATGCTTTATTCTGTACAAGTATCAGCAATATTCATACATTATGTAGAACTCCACTTGTACTTAATTTTTTCGGAAAGGGGGGAACAATGAACAAAAAAAAATAGAGGCTATATATATAAAATCCCAGAAACAGCCAAAGTATTAATTCCAGAGTCAAACCAAAGGAGAGATCAATCTGTCAGGAATTAACTAAAAGGTTATGCGTCTTACGTGCATGCATGCATGCATTGATTCTACTGTTTTTATACATTTTGATGATCATCTACCTGGCCCATCCATCATCATGTATATGATTTATCTAATACTATCATGATCAGTTTCATTTAGTAGTTGTGTTTCCCATAGAGAAATAATAGTGTTTGTCTGAATTTCTGCTGTCCTTGCTGGCTGGCTAATTGTATCTGACATAATAAATCTTCAAATACTGCTGATTGCCTTCATATGTTTTTCTAACCATTCCAAGAAAAAAAGAGATTCTATCTCTTGCGCTTGGACTTCAAAGATGTGACTGATTGGGAATTGCTGTGCCAGTTGCGCTTCCTTTGGTTGATGAACCAGTTGTTGATTTGCTTCAGCTGCAGCCCTGTTTCCTCCACCAGTTTAGCCTTGTCATCCTCCTGCCACACCATATGATTCAACGACATTAAATATTTCTACACCATTCTCAACTCCTTGTACCATAATAATGAGTACTTTTCCAACACAACAATTCCTATGACCCTTTAAAATGAATTGATGCCAATAAGGATCAAAAACCTGTTATATAGAGAGAGACATTGGACTTACAGTTGGATAAGGCCACTTAGAATGCTGCTGCCACCAAGTCTTGAGCACTGAAGTAGTGTCACCTGGCAATTTTCCTGCCCTTCTTTTCCTTAATATTTCCTCTCTCACATCTTCAATTCTTGATCTGAATCCCTGCAGGATGTCAAACACATGTAAGTTAGCCTAACATATGTAGCTTTCTGGCTATCAATGTGTATACATATGCTCATTGTTCTGTCATCTATGTATAGCATACAATGAAAATGATGATTGAGCAGAACAGTGTCAAAGTAAGTACCTGCTTGAGTTCAAGCTTCAGTTCTTGTCGTACTCTCTCCATCAGTGACCTTTCTGATTCTGTTGGAAGTAGAGGGCCAAATCCCATCATATCATGGCCCCCGTCAGATTGTTCTAAGGAGAAATCCATCGTCATCTCATCCTCGTCGTCCGACATTGTTGCACCACTTCCTTCACCAAGGGTTATTCCTGAGGGGGGTTGCAAATCATTGAGTCAGTTCAAGGCTTATATGTTTATCCATTTCATGAAATGGTTTAAGGGTGTTCAGGTTCTGGTCCCTTTGCATATACTCCATCCGTCCCAAAATTATTGTCCACTTTGATATTTCACTTTTAGTATAAGTTAGAACTAGAAATGCAAACTCAAATTGGACAATAATTATAGGACGGTGGGAGTACATATCTAACTTCAGATTATCTATGCTCTATGACCTTTTTAGGAGATATGCCGGTTGCCCTATTGTTAATTAGTAATGTTTTTAATTATGGTTCTACTCCCTCCGTCCCATAATTATTGTCCAGTTTTACTAAAATGAAAGATTTTATTTTTTGTCAAGCTTAACTATATTTTACCTTGAACAACCGGATATACCCCTACATAAGTAATTGTTTAACCACTAAGATTTTATGGATAATGTTTTTTACTAAGGACAAATGTGTAACTTGATCCATAAAAAGTCAAATTGGACAATAATTTTGGGACAAAATTTTTTGGGTAAAGTGGACAATAATTATGGGACGGAGGGAGTATTATTTTATCAAGGCTAACTAGAATTAATGGGATGGAAACAAGTTTAAGAGATATATGTTGTAAAGAAGGTTAAGACTTAAAGAGTGCTGGATATCATTTTGGTTTTCCTTTTCATTTGTTTATACTTTGGAAAATGTTAAGAATTGTGATGAAAGGTCAAAAAGTTGTAAGAAAGTTTGCTGAATTGAATCGTAGTTAGTTATCAAAGTCCATCCAAGTTATCCAACCTCAATTTTGTGTTCATATTCATCTAATTAGGAAGCCCATATCTCCAAGCTAATGATCCAAAAGCCGAAGCAAATCCAGATTTGGGTTACATTATGCATTATAGGCCAGACAAGAGTGCAGCCCAACAATTGTATTTTACTCCAATTTTGTACCTTTCATCATGAAGAAGCCTATGTGCCTAAATAAGGTAATAACTCTATTTCTTGAATAGTTATTGTTATTCCTAAAATAGTAAAAGCTTGTATCAAATCTCTAAAGTTCCCTCGTGATTTTTTTCAGCCAAGTTGTAAACTAAGTTTGTTTTACCTCAAAGGCCAGTCAGTCATCACTAGAATGTAACATATCCAATGAAGTTTTCCATAGGTCAGAATCAAATAATATACTGTATATGTATATATATATATATATATATATATTTTGCTGGTGTGTGTGATAAATAAGGGCATTTCTTTCTCAATATAATGCAATGTCATACAATTAGTTGAGTAATGTTGTCATGGATCTTGCTATGCCATACCAACCACCTACAGATAAATTAGGTATATAACTTATATTAAGATGCTTAGCAGACATTTCCTTTCCTTTTCATTGAAACATCCCCCCAACCTCAACAAATTATTGGTTGCTACAACAGCACCATAGATTACTAACTAGCATTTCACCTCAAAATCAAGGAATCTCAATTCCACAGCATCCACATAACAAAAACCAATTTAAAAATTAATAATGGAGCAATATTATATATGTTCCCTAACTTGGAAGTAACCGTGCATTACAAGAAAATGATCCCAAAATGCATCAGCTAGCTGCCTTCTAATTGGTTGGTGAAAATTACTTGGAGCATATTGGTGGTTGCCACCAATGTTCTTCTTACAAAGAAAACCCAACTAAAATCCCATCCTAACCTAACTTTTAAAAATATTTTGAAAGACAATTAAGGAGGTCCCCACAGTACCCACCTTTAGTTGTACCCTTTCACCATAAACTTAAACATACCAGAACCCCAAATTGCCATTTTCTTATCCTTCTGCCCACCAAATGCATCTTAAGCATCAAAATTCAATCCAAAGATTAAAAAGCAAAATGCCAACCTAGAGCAAAAGCGAACAATAATCACAAGATATTTTCCATTCACTGAATGTGGAAGTCACTTGAACCAATATCCCCGTGAATAATGTTTAAGAAACTAAAAGTAATTAATTGCAAAAATTTCATTTACTCCATGCAACCAAAATGTAAAATCTAACATGGGCCTCCTTTTGCAGAGTAATTCATAGTATATCACATGTGCATCAAAAGAACTGTATTGCTGTTGGCTACCAATTAATTGCATGTCATTTGTATACATACCAGTCAGAGCTTGTAAGTTCTGCTCAATTTCACGGCAGGCCATCACTGCTTCAACAGCATGGACTCTGACATGTTGCTGAAGCTGTTCTTTAAAGGAGCACAAAACTAACAAATACTGTCCCTGTGACATTTTGAACATACAAACAAAAACAAAAAACCAATTCAATATAACTTCTGCTTTAAAACATCAAATAAATGAAAAAGATTCAAACTTTACTGTGTGGTGGGAAAAACCCAGAAACAAATTTTTATTTTAAAGAGAACAAGCCCAACAAGAAAAGAGAAGAAGATGGTATTAAGAACTTACCAAGAAATTGTCAAGTTCTTGCCTTTCATGGAGTGGCAAAGGATGAGAAAGATGTTGCTTTTCTGAAGCATAAGACCTCAAAAGATGATGGGACTGAGAGAGTTGAGCATCAATAAGGTGTAACTGATCAATAGGGGTAGCCACACGAAGGCATGCTACATGAGCTGATAGAAGCTGTTCATACAACGGATGAGTTGCAATCTCAGCCTTCAGATGTCTGTTCTGTTCACCTGGGATTGCAACAGAAACATCTCCCAAACCTCCAATTCCTCCTCCTGTTCCACCCATCATCCCTATACCCTGTTCTTGCATTTCTTCTTCTTCCCCAAAAAAAAAAAAAGAAAAAAAAAGAGGATCTTTTCGTCTTCTATGTATTCTGTTGTATTATCCTACTTTAAAATTGTACTAAAGAGCATCATCAAAGAAAAGGGTTCGTGAAGAAAGCAAGAAAAGATGGAGAAGGGGAGAAAAAAAAAAGGTGGGGTTGATTTGAGGACCACAACAAGCACAAGCAAGCTAAAGGCCAGCTGACGATGTTGAGTTATGATCAACAACTAGTATGTCTGAAGATAAAAAGAAGAGCTTTAGTATCAAAAAAAAGGCAAGGGGTCCAGTTTTTGATGTTTATCAAGTTTATTAGAGAAGAACTTCTGCTAAAATTGGGATCTCAAACACTTCACTTTCTGCACCTATACAGTAGACCTGCAGAAATTTTAACATATGCAGAGAAAAAAAGGAAAAGATGCTAACTCTACTGTGCAGTCTATGTATATATTTGATGAACAGAGATGAAAAAGAAAGGGCAAGAGAGGTCTATATGGTGAACCTATATATGTAGATATGTGCACATTTAGGTGATGATGATATGAAGCAGTTGTGATTGATTTGATTTTTGGCTGTGTTTTTTTGAGTTGTTCGAGTTGGGATTTGAGAGAGATGGAAGTAAAACAAAGGAAAAGGAGAAGAGAGATCTCATGTGGAGCTGTAGAATCATTGCTATATAAGGAAGGCAGGAAGGAGAGAGAGAGAGAGAGAAAAAGGGGGTGAAGTGAAGTAAATAGAGCACAGATAAAGCTGTTCATATGCGGCCTCACCTCACTTGATCTTTCTTTTTCCAGATTTTTTTTCTTCTTTTTTTTTTTTGTTTTTGGGTGTAATTTGGTCCTTTTTTTAAAATTTTCTTTGGTTGTGGGAGAGTGGGGTTCGATAATATTAAGGTTTTTATTGTGTTATTTGGATTCTACAATACTGGGTGTGGAATATGTAAAAGCAAATTGAGTTTTTTTTTTTCATTTAAACATGAAATAAAATTTATTGCGTCATTTCACCAATAATGAGAATGAAAAAGCATCCTAGATATATTGGTTATCTTCTATAGATTTTTTTTCTTTGTTATCATTGGTTTGGGAAACATGGGAATTTTATATTGAGTATTGAAGACTTTCATGGCAATTTATGGTCACTTGTTTTTGTTTATTTTTTGCTCCTTCTTTCATTTCTGCCTATTAGGATCAGTTTCTTGATGATCATCATTTAGATCAATGCAGTTATAATTAATTAATTAATACTAGAAGAAAAAAAGTAGTGATTGCTTGTAAGCTATGTTTTTAAAATTGGACCGAACCGAGCGGTCTAATCGGTTAGTCCGGGAATCGGAAGTCTCATCGGTCCAATTTGCATAAAAAATCGAATTTTGTATAATTTGGTCAAACTCGGACAAAATCGCGGTTTGATCGGAAACCGGTACTGGTTGAACCGGTTTTTGAATATTTTTTTTAAAAATTTAATTTTTAAATATTTTTTTAATATTATTTTAATCGGTTTTCACTAGTTTCGAAGAACAAACTAATCCGTTAATCCGATACACCCACCAACTTAGTCACGCTAACGGTTCACCTTCCGATCCGGTTTTGAAAACATAGCTTGTAAGCAGTAACATTGTACTTGTAGTTGATGATGAAAACAATGTTGTTTTGCTGTAATTTTCTTCCTGAAACTACTATGGTTGGTGGATCACTATTGAACACCTTCTACAGTTCTAAGTAATGTTTTCCCCCAGTCTGTCGGGAGAAAATCGAGATCACATATACTAAAAAATAGTGCGTGTTTATTGTCTTTGAGTAACACCGAAAATTGTGAAATGCTACTCCCTCCATTTCAAAATATAGTTCGTTTTAGGTTTTGAGAAATATTTCAAAATGTAGGTCATTGTAAGATTTTAAGGCAAATTTTATATTAATTTCTCAATTTTGCCCCCAATAAATGATGCTAATTACTTCTCATATAGTTTTGATTATAGTTCTAAAACAATTAATGAAGGGTAAAATAAATATTTAACGCACAAATTAATCACTAAATGATTGTCTTATTAGTTTACGTGTAGAGTCTAAAAAGACTTACATTTTGAAATGGAGGGAGTAACTCTTAATCTTCAACGTTCTCTTTTCCCGGCAGAAGTTCAAGAGATTGTTTCATTAATACGTACTTTAAGTATGAGTTTTAGTTCTTGTAAACTAACTAAAATTAGAAGGAACGACGCCAATGAAATTCATAATTTAACATATAGTAAGATGCGTTGTAATAGATTATGTCCCGTTTCAATATAACCATACACTTTTCCTAAAAAAAGTAACACCGAAAATTAGATTAGAAAAAAATAAACCCACGTACGTTCACTGAAAACACATAAAATTAGTGCTTGCGTTTCTTTTTCTTTTTTCTTTTGCTTCTCCCATGTAATCTCAAACAAATTTCGAAATTCCAAATTGCGACAATATCAATTTCCAGAGTGTGGATTTTGGATCTTCAATTTTTCTTGGGTTACTTAAGATGTTTAAGAAGGAGCAATGCGATCGTCAAATCGTGTTTATATACAGATTTTAAGTTAAGAAGAACTTTCTAGTTAAGGTTTTACTTTGAACCATTATTGTTACTCACAAATTATGTTAGAGATTGTCACTTAGCATAATTAGTTCAGGTTAAAATCTGACCATAAGCTTTTGGTATTATGATTATGGGGCCTTTTTGATCGTACAATAGGAACTCATGGTGCAATATATATTTCTAACCTCTTTTCCTTTGCGTATATTGTCTCATTCCAAGTACAATCAATTACTATATGACCGCCAATTTTTGTTTGTTTTGTTTCTTGCTTCACTTTTCAGGGACATTTACTATGCTCATTGAAGTTCTGATTTTACATTATATCTGTTTCAGGTGCATTTGGGAATTAGGATTTATTTGGTGGACACAGGCAGGGATGGGGATGTTCATTTTGTAATTGAATATTGGACACTTAATTTTAACCTTCTCTAGTTTATAGTGCTCTTTATAAGTTCGGTATCTGAAATCATAATTTCGACTAATTTAAATTTGAGTCGGATAAATCTCTTCTAAAATCACAGCATCTCCTCTAGTTTTTCATAGAACATTGAACATGCCTTCATATATGGCTCGTTAGTCTCAAACAAGAAGAGAAGAGAAGTTCCAATTTCAATTCCAATTCATATAGCTCATTTTCTTTCCTCAAGATCAAACTTTTATCTCTTTGAGTTTATTTAAGAACTACCATATGGTGTAAGATTTAGGGTGAATAAAAATAAATAAATGAGAAAGAGTAAAAGTCATGATAGTTGTTTATTTAAGAAAAAGTAATCTGTTTTACTTTGTTTCCACTTAAGGGAATGAATAGCATGTGGCAACCGACTATTACTTAATACTTGAGCTTAATGACCACATAGACCCATCAATTGCTTAAGAGAAGCATGCATCTTTAAGAAGATACTCATGTATCCTATAAAAATAATTTATTTAAATTGAACTAAATTAATATAATATAAAATAAAAATATTTTTCGGAAACAGAAACTGCATATATATATATATATATATATATATTTTAAAAAAAAAAAGAAGCGACAAAGAAATATTGTCCCTCCATAGTTTTTGTGTTCATGTGAAGGGGGCAACTAAGAGATACATATTTACCACTCACATTATCCACTAGTAATTTGTTTGAGGATAGTATTTATGCTTTAATCGATTAAAAAATTTCCTGATATTAGTATTAGGTTAAAAAAAATTGTTGGGAGGCTAATGATATTCTTCTCGGTTGTCTAATTAGCTGAACTAAGAAGAAAAGGAACAAAAACAATGTTGAACCTATAATATGTAACTATATATTAATAATAATGGTTGTCCATATTAGTTAGAGACAGCGTACGTACTACTTTGTTACTTAAAATTGTCGGTTTCCGATTTGTGCTGTCGAGCTATCTTGGCTGTTGTATGTCTGCCTTCCAAGTTTAGCATTACTTTCTTTTTTAAAAAAAAAAAAAAAGAAAAAGGAAACAATGGTTTTAATTATTTTGATTTTCTTAATTGGTTTCCAACTTCCACCACTAATAAATAATAATGCTACACCATCTGTACCTAATGAACGTATGTTAGCATTTAACGATTAGTTTTAGATCCAATATATTCTCTTTTTTTATTAAAAAACTTTTATCAGTATTCTTTTTTCCTGCGGGTGGAATGAAAGAACATTTTTTTAATGATTCCGATTTAATTATCGTTATAAAGGAATGTCATTATCCATTAATTAAGTAGTTACTAATATCTGGACAAAATAAGTGAGGATATAGGGAATATTAAATAGCTAGGTTGAAAGTTCAATTCCTCTATTAGCTATTATATATGAAAAAGAGTTAACCACATGGATATAATTCAATAATTCAATTGATTAATCCGAGGTGAAAATCATATGAGCCTAAGTTGAAGAACTAATCAGTATTGTACCCCCCAAAAGCAAAAAAAGAACTAATCAGTAAATGTGAAATTAATTTAATATTTTTCTTTTGTCGATATGACAAGAGTAATAACATATTCTCACATAACATTATAATTTATACGTAATTTAGGTACAAATTTTCTTTGGGAGAAAGAAAAAGAGAAATCATTGGAATTTTGGATAGTTCGTTTGGGTCCTTTGGGAGGGGGGACCGCTCAAGCTTCGAATAAATTCATATGTAAAAGACTAAAAGGTCAATTTGTGGAACGTAATCCATAGAAGTATCATTTTCCAATTTTCTTTCTTCTTTTTTTTTTAAAAATAATTTAATAATAATTAATCGCGTTGTAAGCAAAGAAGCCACAAATAATACTTTATTCTTTTAAAAAAAACAATATTGGTGGAGAAATGGAGTTAAGTGGAGAAGATGAAATCCGCCGCCATGTAAACCAAACCTTCTAGAAAGCTAGCTGCTACTAATGAATGTGTAAGTCAAGTCATTTTATAATTGGAGTCGAATTTTTCACATCTTCTCGTGAAAAACGAGGGAGAAAACTTGAACATATGAGAATATTGACATGGCAAAATCCTATTTTATAGAATGAAATTTTATTTGATGTCTAAGAAGAAGAATTAAAACTTGAGCTAGTATATTTCACTAAAACAAAATCACATGTATATGTTTGATATATTACCATCTCTTTTGTCTGACTAATCTGAATTCAAATAAATACTCTTTCCGTCCCATAATTATTGTCCAATTTGATTTTTTATGAAGTACGTTACGCATTCGCCCTTTAATGTACTGACTGGAAACTGTTTTATTCTATTTTATCTCCGACAGCTCTTTAGATCAAAACGGCGCCTGTAACACAACATTATTCTCTTTCCCAAATATCTCACGGTAAATGTCGTGAGCGTCACTAGGATTAAATCTATGAAAAGGGTCTGGATGCTGTTGGTGGGTCCGATTAACATAAGGGCCACCGCCGCTCGAAAGCGGTGGAACTTGTCCGGATTTCAGTGCCTCCTCGCCGTAAAGATCATAGATCTGCCGCTTCTGTGGGTCGCTCAAAACGTCATAGGCTTCAGAAATTTACTTGAATTTCGCTTCCACTTCTTGCTTATTGTTGGATACATTCTTATCAGGGTGCCATATTATTGCCAACCGCCGATAGGCTTTCTTCAAATCATCATCGGTTGCATTCCTATTAACTTTGAGAATGTTGAAGTAATCTACTTCCATAATTGGAATTCTAAAGAGGTTTTATAGATCACTAAAAATTAGAACTTTTTTTTCTAGTAGATATAGATGGATTTATGGAGAAAGATGCCGGAAAATAATAGAGAGGTGGGTGGGAATATTGATTTCTGGTTTGGAACCATTACAACTTTTACAAGCGACTGGGTAGCTGGGTTAAACTCGCATGGGCATATTTTTTATTACTAATTTAAGTTTGACTAAAAATAAAATTTTCTAATTTAATCAAATTGGACAATAATTATGAGATGAGAGTAATTATACCTTCACAAACGAATGTGGAAAATACAATAATTGAAAATTTTCACGTCTTATAGTAGTAACTAATGAATTTAACCATCCAATACTGACGTGAACAAGCTCATAAGCACTTCTTCTCCAATGGAAGAGAACCCAAGAAATTTACATTCGGTGAGAATCATCCAGTAAAATTGTCATCTTTGATACATTTTTTTTTAATAAAACATTATCAAAATCACTTGGTAAAAGATAATGAGATAAATTTGTTTCTCATTAATAGGAGGGAATGCAGATCAACCCCCTTGAACCAAATTAGACCCGATCTGACGTATTCGGTGATTTCGTAGTAATATACCGAAAACAATTCATCTCCACCAATTTAAATACTGTATATTTAAGATAACAGAGAAAAACAACATACGAAAAGTGGCTCCCAATTAGCAAAGCGCACCAAAGAAGAAGAATGGCCAAAAGCCAAAACGCGAAGCAAAATTGTGGAGTCAACATCACAGCTGTAGGCTTGTCATATTCCACAACCTTAAGATTAAGACGGGGTTTTTAAGAGAGCGGTCCCCAAATGCTCCCAATTTCTTTCATCATCAAAGCCTCCATCGGAAGCAGATTGTAAAACCAGGAAAAATAAAAATAAAAAATGCTTAAATAAATATACTATGAAAAAAACCAAGGAAAAGAAAGAAAGACGAAATAGGGTGTTGTCCCTTTCCCCATCCCCACATCCTCCTGGACTTTTTTTCCCTCCCTTCATTACTCATATGAGTAAGATACATTTTGTTTTATATTTCCTTTTCACCTTTTGATGCTTCTTCTTTTCTTTCCTCCTCCAAAGTCAATTCACTCACCAATCAATCTTACGGATCCAAAAACTGAGAGTCATTTTCATGGATTAGGATGGGATAAAATGCTAAGAACTAGGAATTGGTTGTTTTCTTTTCACTATTTAGATTTTGAGCTCAAACAAAAAGTAGTACTTTGAATCTCAAGTACGCATTCATTTTTGTTTCAATGAAAGCCAGCCAAGTATGGTTCAAAACAGTGCAAATCCGCACACTATACATGAGCTTAGACAATCCTTCCATCATGTGGTGCCAGGGTGTCTTTCCAAGTAATAGTTTCCTAGACCCGGGTTCGATGTTGAAACATATATTCATAATTAAGGCTTTAGTTACAGCAATAAGGACAGAAATCTGCCGAGATTCCTACATTACATCAATATAATCAGCTTGTCAATGATGATACATATCATACATCCATATACCAATGTAACTACAATCAAACATAGAATGACACACTAACAAGGTATGAAAGGGTATCACTCCAATTTCAGACTGGTGAAGCAGAATTCTATTCATCGACAGCATCGTCAATAAGAGTAACGATTCTGTTCATCTACAAAGATCTTGCTCATGGCAGAAAGGAGGTAAAAAGGCACAAACTCACAAATCTAAGAAAACTGTAAATGTTTATTGTCAGCTTGCCTAGACCAAAAATGAGGCGGACTGTTTCTTCATTTACATGCGGAGAGGGAAAGTACACAGTGTCACAGGGAAAAGAAAAAGTCGTGATTACATCATTTACAAACATATATAGCCATCTTAAATGGCTAAAACTAGATTTTCACATGACAGTACATTTATCTTTTGAGGACTTTGATTCCTTAGAAGATGTGGACGCATACTTTCCACTAGCCCTTGAAACCTACAAATTCATCAAGGTAATTGTATAATTTAATCAGCAATATCCAACATCGAAAGGCATAAAAGTACCACAAAAACATAATGCTCAGATGTCCCATGTATAATGAGAATTGGGAGCTGAATTAAAAGAAAGCACACAAGAGATCAGAATCAGTGTGATAAATTGTGATGGTTTGATCTCATGACATTATTTGCAGTACAGAAAGCAGTGAAATGGATGCCAGAAACTCTTCAACTATAAATTTCAAGATGTACCAAGGAAAAAATTAGCAATAAAAAATATTAGAGCATACCTGAGGACCTGTAACCAATCTACCACCTCCTAGAGAAGAAGGTTGCTGCGAATTATTCTGTTGTTGCTGTGTCTGTTGTTCAAATTCTTGTTGTTGGAGAGCAATTGCCAGTTGCAAGTCCGAACTGTCCCAATGAGCGAAAGAAAACCCGTGAGCTATTTTAAACGACATGTCAAAGTTCTTTTGACTGGAAAAAAGAATCATTTCATTTGACACAATTAACCAGATCAAGAAATTATGGACAACCAATAAGCTGAACGTGTTAAAGTGCGCAGGCTGTGCACAAAAACAGTACCAATTGTACAGTAGATTGTTACTTCAAAAACTTCAACGGAAGTAAAATAATCTCATACTTATAAAGATCCTTGAAATGCTTCTCACGACTATATTAGTTCCACCAGTTCATCCCGAAATTGGCAGGATTGAAATATAAAGAAACTATTCAACAATTGACAAGTCTATCTACCAACTTAAGATAATCCATAATAAGATACAACGACGAAGAAATATCAAACGCAACTGCATGTACAAGGGGAGAAAGATCCCAAATCACACACACAGAAGCACAACAAATTATATACTCCAGGTTCTAAGATCCCTGCCTAAAAGAAAGATTAGAAATTGCAAACAAAAATGTTATGAAGTTCAAAAGGTATAGATAATTACTTAAAACTTGAATCTTCTTGCATCGAATTGTCAATGCTTGAAAGGTAGTCCTACAAAGCAGAAAAAATTTTCAGGTAGGTGAAGATGTGCCAGGAGTATGAAAATGAAGTAATCAGTACAATTAAAGTAATGAAAAGAGATCATAATCAACTACATACTGCAGTGCTAGTCATAGCATTCTGCTCATCCCATGAACTGCTGTCCTGATGTTCCACCTTGAACTCCTTGAAGTTACCAGTCATGAACACAGTATCCCCATTCACCTAGTGAGTCCATATCACACAAACAGTGAGGTTCGTGTAGGCAGTTTCTACATATATCAACAGAAACCAAAAGATTTGAAATAGCGATATCAGAGCCTACACACTCAATCAATCAAACAACGCCATCACCTAGACTCATACCAAAAGCATATTTGGTTCATGTCAGACAATAGGATTTCTTATAAACCAATTCTGGTTGGCAGTTTGAAAAACATTCTCTTCCAAAAAAATATATGATGAAGAGTAGAACCAACACCACGAATCGTTACCTCATTCAGCTTCTCCCAAACCAATTCCGGCTGATTCAGATAACCGAGATCAGTAGCCAGAATGTACAGTTCACCTTCAAACTGCACAGGATAGTAATATTAGACACAAAACTTGACGTCACAAGACACATTATAAGTTTCACTAGGAATTTGCTCTTGGAACGTATCAGTATGCTACTGCCCAGTAAAGTTTCAATTGATAAAACAAATGCAAATGGACCTTGAACATGGTGTTGAAATGATTATTCCGGAAAAATACGCACAGCTCGCGCTCTTTCAATCCCTCTTGTAAGCAGAACAGGCTGCAGAAGCCACCAGATGAACCATGGTAAGTGAATCCCTTTAAAAAAAGGAACCATACTTAATATAGATGATGACAACATACCCATAGATTGTCAATTGACTAGCATTACACTTCAGGAAATTCCGTATAAGTTCACCTGAGAAGAATTCAAAAGATTTGAAAGAATTCCAAGTAAGTATAATTGAAGCAAGCAAGGAGGGGGCAGCATTGGATCAAGCTGAAAAAAGAAATGTGAATGATCAGCGAAGAAAAGCAGACGATGTGTTCTTAAAGTACCTTGAGTTGGACTGATTTCATCTTTCTTTGTATCAGATAGTTCCAAATTTTTAATCCCTTGTTCAGCAAGGACTACCTCACCCTCATACACAGGCTCTCGGCTTTCATTAGATGTAGCTCTAGACTCCAAGATGTTCTCCTCTCCTTCATAAATTGGTTCACAGTCATTCACACTAGACGAGAAACCTTCACGTTCATCAACATTCGACTGCCTCCCATTTACTAAGTCAGTATCTTGAGCATTGCTTGGAACACTGGTGGCATCAGAGGTTTCATGTCCATTTTGTCTATTTCCAAGTTCAAGTACTTCAGAAGTAGAGTCGGATAAATTCCGTTTGACTTCATGATTCTCAGATATATGCACATTACTTTCGGAGACACCCGCAGAATCTGAAAGTGAAGATACAAGTGAAACGCCGTTCATGTCTACTGGTGTTTTCACAACATCTTTTTCAACATTTTCGGAAGGGGCTTTACCCTGAGATTGATCACAAGAATCCCCCAGTTCTGTATTAAAAGACAAACAAATTGCTTCCTGCGAGACTGTTTCGGAATCTTTATTGAAGGTCACACTGCTATTGGGTGTTATCACTGTATCTAAACAAGGAATTTGACTTCCATTGTAACCTTGGCTCTTCGAATCCGCGACGAAACTAACAGATTCGGAATTGTTTATATGCAACACAGAATCAGTATCAAGAGATGAACTTGGAGGAGCAAGAAATAGATCATCTGTTGGAGAAGTATGTGTAACTGATTCTGACAACTTCATCACTCCAGATACCTCTGCCTCTTCTTCAACGTCTCCTTTCCTTCCTTCCAGGTATTCAGGAGATACAGAAGGATCATCAAAGGATCTACCCCTTGAAAGGGAGGGAGAAGGAACTCCAAGTGCTGCAGTCGTTGCAGCAACAAAATCAACTGAGTCCTCCTCAGCAGGTTTCTTGTTTCCAGTTTCCAAGTTTTGAGTATCAAGGGCAACAAGATCCCCCATGAGAGTATTATATGACCTGGAACCAATTGCATTCGCAGTTTCACAATCCTGTCAAGGATACAAAATGTTGCATTGATCTCATGGAAGCATATAAAACCAACTGAACTCAATAAGGGAAAAAAACAGAATTAAAGAAAAGTTCTTTCATGCATTAAAAACTTCAGAATAGCCTCTCATTCATTTACTCCATGTTTGGTTGTTCAGAAAAGTTCTCTCACAATGCGGTGACAATCAAATATTTACCCAAAGAGTCATTCCAAAGTCCAGAATCTAGCTCGCTATCAAAGCAAGAAGCTATCTACAGCATTGCTTAGAAGTGCTTCAACCAAAATTATGGATCATTTAACTCTTAGAAATATTAATTCTTGCAACACTTGTTCTCTAAATAATGTCAGTTACTAAACATTACAAGTGTGTAACTATGAATACTTGCAAATTCTCATCCAACCAAATAACTAATCGTACATTCTAGAAGGATAAAAAATACGCAGAAAGAACAACATCAAGGCAGCAGTTATTGCCTTCAACATTGATCTTGTGTATATCAGTCTTCTCTACATAAATAAAATTTAAACTGACCATAAAATTTTCGTTTACAGTGGAATAGCACTCAACCAATGACTTCAGCATTTTGTTCTTATGGATGTAACGGTAGATACAAGAAACACAATATGAAATGAAAAAACATGTACCTGTGGATCAACTATCCAACCATGGTAAAGAGGAATGTCCAGCAGATCAAATATTGCACACTCTCGAGTAAACTCAAAGTCATCAATTCTGAAAAAATAAAGTCCATTATTCTATAAAAAAAGATAAACTCCATAAGATAAAAAAGATTTCCACATGATACAAATCAAAATTCAAACTGAAGAAATCTATTACCTCCTAAATTTGATATTTACATCAATCCCGGTAGTGAGTCTAGGAAGCAAGTCGATGGCATCAGCAATGTTTTGTTCCTGATTCTCAACATACCCCGCATCTTTGTTCTACACAAAAATCAAAACCAGCAAAGAGCACTTTAGCTTCAACATTCGCTTCAAAATGTAAATTAAGTAGAGAAAATTGGTACTCCAACAACAAGGAAAGGTCTTTCTAAACAAGATTTTAAAGGAAAAATTCATTCAGTAATTCAGAAAAAGCCAGAAAAAAAAATGCATAAAAACCAAATTACATCAGTGTTCGAATTAGATTCAAAAATTCGATCAGCCACAAGCGAGAGCAACTTCTGCTGTGAAACCTCGGGAATGTCTGGACTCAAGCTCAAGTTATTCTTCAATAGGAGAACATTACCTACAAACATATGGCATATATCAGCACAAAAGCATTCAAACCACAAGACTTTAAGGTTCCAAATAAGTTAAGTTGGCAGGACTGTAAAATTACACCCTACAGAAAAGAAATAGTGTCATTTTCTTAGCTCCTATGATGCGCCAATGGAAGCTTGAATCAATTAATCACACAAAAGAACTCGTTTCAAATTAAAATCTACAATTTTTCCAGTCAGTTATCTGATGTACAAAGACATTAAGCAACCCAATTCTTGGAGCAAAGACTCCAAGCTCCAAACTCTTCTTTCTTTTACACAGTGAGGAGAAACTTCACTTTCATTAGGTAAAGCTAGAATATAATACAGATGCAGATTAAAACCCTTCATGTTGAGAGAACTGGTTATTCGACCTACGTAAATAGTCATCACCCAGAAGAACATTGGAAAACTACACTGCAATCCACGAAAACAATAGGAAAAAAATCCCCAATCTTATATAAATTAAAGATTTCTTAGTTCATCAAGACCTGCAATCATAATTATAATTACATAAAACTCATAGTTCTTTATCCAAGCAAAGTGACTTCTGATCATTCCATTAAGTTATAAAAAGTAAACCTAATTCTCAATATCTTGAGGACACGTTTCCACATTTAACACCAGAATGGAGGTCTTAACAATAACAACAATCACACAAAGTTCGCAGGTAATTAATTGAAAAAAATTAGAAAGCCAGCTCAAATTGTTAACTCTCATCAATTTCTCATTGTGTAAACCTAATTCTAAAAATTCACACCACGGTGCATTGACGTCGAAGAACAACAGTTTCAATTCTACCAAACAAAATTCAAATTAACCCTACGAGAACTAAGAAAAGCAACACATTGAAAAATAAACATCCACAGACACAATTAAATACTAAGTTGCAAGGAAAAAAAAAAACGTATGAAAAGAAAGGAGAGTAAAATTGGTCGTACAGATGGCGAGGAGAGGGCAGGGTCCATTGTCGTTCTGAAGAATGATAGGAGTAGTCCGTCCAAGGAATTGAATGACTTTGACTTTGTGCATCATCTCCGGTTCATCTTTCCGTTCCTCCGAGGACGATGACACATCCGCCGGTGCGGCAGTTGACGACGAAGCCGGCGCCGACGAAGACAAGGACATTTTCAAAATCGCTTTTTCTGAATGGAAGTGATTCACTAGGCTGTACTATTTTTTACCAAATTTTTGTCAGTATTTGTTGAATTTGTTGGGGGCTTTAAGAGAGAGAAATCTCTTTGAATGTACCGTTTTGTAGCAGAGTATAGAGAGAGAGAAAAAAGAAAAAGAAGAAACGCGCACGGGGAAGTTGGCGTTTATATACCTGTCACAAGATGGACTGAAACTTGGCTGAAATGATCCTTAATATTTAAGTCTGTCTTCAAGTTTCTTAATTTGGTATAAAATTGTTTTTTGTTGATTTATTAGTGCAATTTTACAATTTTTAAGCTACGCGTAATCGGTTTTATATATATTTTGTCTACACGACTTTGTCCATTCATCAATTCCATTCTTACGGAATTAGTTACTACTTTTTTTTTATTAAGAAAAAAAGAAAACACAAATACTATTTAACTTAAATGAATAATATGGAACTCTCAAGAACTTTGTCAAAAAAACTAGTAATGATTTCTCAAAAATACGATTTCATTTTTTATTTTTTTATTTTTTGAATTAAAAGTATCAGCACCATCTGTACTAACAGGTCAATCATCAATATATAAAAACTAACATAAAATCTTCTTTTTAAGACAAATTTCCGGTGTATTATTAATTTTATCGCATCACAACTCTTGAACGTTAAAAAGGTATTTTCATTAAATGTATATAAAGTACAAATTTGAATCTTTAAATTAATCGAAAGGGAGAAACCACCTAATGGCTATAAGCAGTCAGTCCAACTCATTTCGTAAATATCAGCGTGTATCAAATTGTCATGGTCCTTTTTAAAAAATTTTGGTGGCCGTCATTGGTTTAAATTAATGACGAATGATGATAATGGTCGGTCATTATCACGTTTTTTAAGGTAAAATTGAAGCTTTAATTAACTAGCCCCTTTGATGTCTGTAAATCAAGTTGGTATAATAAGACTAATAGACAACGAATCTGGCTTTTTGTTAGTAGTGGTTGTTAAACTTGAAACCGACTTGGATATTAGAAGCGCTATAATATTATGATTTATTTTTTAAAATTCTTTTTAATGAAAACAAGGTAAATGTATATTACCTTGTTTTTTTTTTTTGTCCGAAACGATACTCAAATTTTATTAAAACAGATAGCAAAATATACAGATTGTACAAGAAGTATATAAAGTACAGCTAAATCTAGCCATGGCAGAAGTGAATAATATCTCTATTCCATGAGGAGGTCTAGATCTAACAAACTTCACCAATTAAAGGGAAAAAACAATTTAAAGTCTACAAATACAAGATGAACGATTTAATACAGATCTTTTGAAGATCTAATTTGCACTGTTGATCTGGAATCAGTCGTCAGATCTTGAAGGCCTACAATATTAGATCAACAGCAAATCGACCACTTATGTTCTTGTTCATCTTCTGCCAATCCGTGGAAATTCGCCAGAAGATTCACCGGAAAGTTTTTCTCGTTCAATCGGATCCGTGAGCGAGAATATACATTAAATATACCAATCAGATCTCCCAATGAGAGATCTAAATATAAACCAAGAAAAGAAAAAAGAAAAAAGAAAAAAACTTTCAGATCTGAAAGTTCAGATCGAAAGAGGCAAACACCCAAACATGGGTGAGTCAAAACTCCTACAAGAGGAGAGTAAAACAAAAGAAAAGTTATTTCCCATCTCCGTTCAGGGACGATGGAAGATGGGAGAAGGGAGAAGGGAGGGACTTTCGGGAAGGGTAAAGAAGAAAAAACGAGAGAGAGAAGAGAGAAAAGAAAGCAAATGTATATTACCTTGAGGCTAAGGTAACTCAAACAAAAGATTGTTATGCGCTACAATTAGAGATACACAACTAAGGGACAAAATCATTTTGAGTAGCGCATAGTTGAACAAGACACGCGCCCCCAAAATTCTCTCCTACGCGCTCCCAAAATCTCTCCCTGACCTCCATTTTTGCCTCTGCATTTTGAGCATGCTCCACCGGCGCTTGTGAATTAAAAGTCATCATTGTCCTTCTTGGCCAAAATTTGAAGCTCCGCAGTTGCAGCCCACTAATCCGATCAAGATTTCTTGCCATCTTGCAAATTCACCCAGATTTGATTGTTGACGAAGACAGTCGTCAATAGAATTTCGCCCAAATCTTTAGTACCTCGATTCCTCCTCTGCAAAGCCAGTTTACCGGCTCCGAGTAAAGCACCGTTCAGCTTCTTCACTGGTTCTTGTATCAAATCACTGTCAACCGGAATCTTGAGGGCCTCTTTGAATTCAAGCTCTGCAATTTACCACCGGCTTTTAGTTGATATCTTCCCACTCGCTCTGATGGCGGATGCAATGTTTCTATTTGAGCTGCGGTCCCATTGATGTTTCTATCCCATCTGTTAGCTCTGGGCTCAATCATTAGTGATATTGGGAACTCCAATATCGTCGGTTTATTATTATGAAAGAACTGAGGGTCTCTTCTCATGGCAAGGTACTCAAATACTTCTCTTTTGCTAAGTGTCAGCTGCAACAACATCTCTCTATCCGCATTACAGCTCTAGGTATCGCCATTCCAAAGGCTATAGCTACTGGTGAGCTGCTCAAAGCTCAACTGGAACATCTCCAACAAATTGTCACGACCACTCTGACGAACGGGGTTTCTACAATTGTTATATCCTTGAGCTTGGATTCATTTCATGATACGAGGAATCAAAATCCAGGCTGCTCAAACCAAGGTAACCATCGGAAGAAGAGGCATGCCAACACCAAGTCGCGTCATAATTCAGCCACTACCAAAGCAGAGCATAAGCAATGGAGGAGAGTCCCCTCTCCCGCATGTAGTGTCGTTCATGCTCCTGATGCTGTTCCAGATGCTGTTGTTTTTGTTATTGATTCTGTTTTTGGGTCTTCCCTATCAGAATCAACAGATATGGATCATGATTGCAAGGGAAAGATGTTGGACAGCACTATGTTTGATACAACTAGAGGAGAATCTCATCAGAATGTAATGGTAGACTCAGAGTTAAGGATGCACCAACCAAAAGATGCCTTTAGACGCAAACTGTAGATTGGCAATGGCGTGTAGACCTACTGCATTGGTGATAGAACGAGTAGTAGAGACTCAACAACAATATGAAGTTAAAGGTGTCCCCATTTTTCAAGTCAGTTGGATTGCCAACACAGACCCGATGGCGTCGTCGACTTCAACAAGAGAAGAGCATAAATTCTTATCCTTTTAAAAGTTTCCATGGCCGACTGAGCAGAAAAGAGGTTTGGATTGTTTGGAAGTGACTGAGACTTTAAGGAAACGCAGACTGACTGTCAAGGAAAGGTTGCTGAGATGTAGCAAAAGGTGCAAGCTTCGATGGACGAATTATTTGAGGCCTTTGGGAATGACCACCAAGAAACTCTGCGTCGGCGTCTCCAAAGGAAGCAGTGCACCACCTATGGGACTGATAGTTGTTCATCCTGTGTTGGAGGAATGAAAAGAAGCTTGGATTACTTGGAGAAGATAGTGCTCCTACACAAACGCCGAAGGATGCTAACCAAAGAAAGCACTCAGATGCTGCTTTCTCAGGTAACTGGTCTTGACTTTGTTTTGAATGTCTCGCCTATTGTCAATGTATCAGATAACCTTCAGGTCAGGGAGGTCTTGAAAGTTGCTGACCAGCTGAAGTGTTTTGCAGTAGTTGAACCAGATCAATCGCCTCTGTTTTTATGAGTATTATGTCCTCGAAATATAGAGGCATGAATAATGACTCTACAAAACAATCTCTAAGTAGACTTTATAGCTATTATAAAGCTTCTATTTTGTTCTTGATGAAAACTAGGGCTAGTAGTAGTACTGTAGAAGTGTGACAGCAAACCACACCTTTTAAAAACTCTTTTGTTATAGACTCTGTTGGTAGTAGTGGTGGCCTTACTCTAGTTTGGCTAGAAGGAGTTAGGCTTACTATATTACTCCACACTTCGAATATGGTGTTAGCAATGGTCTGTGAACCCTCTGGAATCGAATGGTTAGGTGTTTTTCTGTATGGCATGCCTTCCCGTCAAGGAAGAGCATTATTTTTGAAGCAGATGAGTGTCACCATCAGAAATTTCCAGTACCCTATGATTGTTTTAGGTGATTTCAACTAAGTAGGTAGTCAAGAGGACAAGCTAGGAGGAAGACCTGTGTCCAACCAGGATACTAGGCCAATTCATCAATTCCTTGATCACAATGATCTTGAGGAACTCAAAATCATTGGTTATTGGTTCACATGGACAAACAAAAGAAGCAATCAAGATTCAATATATGAAAGACTTGATTGTGCTTTTGTTAACAGACAGTGGCTAACTATTTTTTCAAAGGAGATCACATGGACAGAAGCAATCAAGATTCAATTTATGAGAGACTTAATCGTGCTTTTGTTAACAGACAGTGGCTAACTATTTTTTCAAAGGAGATCATGTGAACTCTACCCATCATGGTTTCAGACCATGCCCCCATTATGGTTCAACTCAAGCACAAGGCTAACAAGCCTAGGAAGAGGTACAAGTTTGAATAATTTTGGTCTAGATGCCCAAGATCACAGGACCTAGTTCACACAGCCTGGACACAGGGTACTCTACAACTCCCCAATCAACAAGAGAAACTGTCTTACCAACTAAAAACAAGTCTGACAACTCTCTATAGCTGGAGCAGTGACCACTTTGGTAATATTGACGAAAAAGTGGCTATGCTCACAAGCCAACTGTCAGATTCCCTAGTTAAGTAGGAAGGGGATCCAACTAATCAGCAGTTAACTGATCAGTTAGAGAGGAAAAGGAAGGAGCTAGAAGATGCTATACAGTTCCAACATGATTACTGGCATCAGAGGTCTAAGCTCATTTGGCCATTACAAGGTGATACAAACACTAAATTTTTTCACAAATGGGCAACAAGAAGGAAAGGTGCAAACTAGATTACTGACTTGTGCAATTCAAAGGGACAATGGATACATGATACCCAACAGATGGACTCATCATCACAAGTAAGAAACTCATCACCTTTCTTCCAGTAGAGTCTCCAAAATGTCCAGGAGTCTCCACAAGATCAACCTTTTACAGCCAAAGAAATTTGGGAGGCGGTAAGACAAACGGCTTCTTGGAAAACCCCTGACCCTAATGGAATGCTTGCAGGTTTTTACAAGACGTACAAACACATTATTGGGAAGGACGTTGAGGATTCCATCTTAGAAGCTGTCAACTAGCAATATTTCCCATTGGAATGGAAACAAACCAGCAATATTTCCCAAATCATCCTAATCAAGCATCGCCATCAGATTTCATACCAATAAGCCTCTGCAATGTAAAGTACAAAATCATAACAAAGATGATCACTAACAGGTTGAAATCCATCATATCAGACCTCATCGATGAACATCAAAACGGATTCGTCCCAGGCAGAAATATCAGTGAGAACATTTTGATGGCTCATGAAGTGATTGAATGCATCAGGAAGAAGGAAGGAAATACAGGTATGGCTGCCATAAAACTGGACATGAACAAGGCCTATGATAGGGTCTCATAACATTTCCTTGAAGCTATACTAAAAAAAGCTGGTTTCCCTCAGAACTTGATCAAGCTTATTATGCACTGTGTCACAATAGTGTCATATTCCATTCAATTCAATGGGGAAACCTTGCCATATTTTTCCCCAAAAAGTGGTCTCAGGCAGGGATGTCCCCTCTCTTCGTACCTATTCATCCTCTGCAACAAGTCTTGTCCTCTGCAATCAGATCTGAGATACGCACCTCCCCGGGCCTAGGTTTCAAAATTAGCAGAGATGCACCCAGAATCAGTCATTTGATGTACACTGATGATAGTCTCTTCTTCATATAATGCACGCAAGAGGCCATTCAAGCTCTGTCAGGACTTATACAGACCTATGCTGCTTTCTCATGACAAAAGATTAACCATAAAAAATCATCTATATTGGTCAGCTCAAACACCACCACTGATATGAAACAACTTCCGCACGAGATCATTGAAATACCACAAGGGGACTTTCACAGCAAATACCTAGGCCTCTCTTTAGATTTCAAGGAGAAGAAAAGTGTGATTTTCAAGGAATTCACTACAAGACTAGCCAGGAAATTCACATACTGGAAGACCAAACTCTTTATCTTTGCTGGAAGAGTCACGTTGGCCAAGTGTACACTTTCAGCAATGCTTGTATATTTAATGAGAGTCTTCAAACTTCCAGCATCCACTATAAAAAAGACAGAACGCATAATTGGAAATTTCATATGGAATGGTGATAAGCAGGGCAAAGGAATCCACTGGAGATCATGGAAAAAGATCAGCAAATCAATTTTTCAAGGGGGTTCAGGGCTTAAATCTATCACTGAATTTAACCAAGCCTTGTTAGCCAAACATGCCTGGAAAATGATCTCCCAACCAGAATCTTTGTTATCAAAGCTTTACAGAGCTAAATATTGCATCACTGATTCTTTCCCTCAACAAAATCCACCAAACAATGCTACTTGGGGCTATAGAAGCATTCTATGGGGAGCTAGATTATTACAAGATAGCATTAGGTAGAAGGTTATCTCAGGAAGAAATATTCATATTGCTGATGATTGGATCCCTAATCATGCCAATCCAATTCACCATTCCTCCTTCTTGGCTACACATTCCAATATTCTGGTGCGTGATCATATCAACTCTAATGGTCAATGGAAGTTGTCCTTTCTCAGAACCATCTTCCCGGATCACCTCATCCCTGATATCACAGGGATATACATTGATCACTCAAGGAGTTCTCAAAATGACAAACTTATATGGTTGAATGCCACTCATGGGAACTATACTGTCCACTCTGGGTACCATAAGGCTCTAAACAATGATACGGGTCCATCTGGAATCCAAGCTCAACCACAACAACTACTAGAAACACAGGCCTGAAAAAGGTTGTAGAATTCTAGGGTTCCACCAAAGAAGAAGTACCTCTTCTGGAGAGCTGCCTCGAATGCCTTGCCAACAAAAGTAGGTTTACACAGAAGAGGAATCCAGGAAGATCAGCTATGTCCCAGGTGTTTCACTCAAGTGGAGGATGATATCCACATGTTTTTCAACTTTGCAATATCACATGCAATCTGGAGTTTTGCCTACCTTTCTTTTCAAACAATATTAAATGGTAATTCTCCCACTCTTCTACACTGGTTTGTTGATTGGGTCAAGACCTTTCCATCACAAGAGATATAGACCTCTTCCTCACAATCTTCTGGAGGATATGGATAGAACGTAATGATAAGGTTTGGCGTTCTCAAACCGTGGATCCATTCAACTCCTAGAGAAAAATCCAAATGGAATACACACATCACAAGGCCTCAATCCACCATCAGCAACATCAACGGCCATGTACTTCCTCCAGTGACCTCACACCAAGGGCCAATGTATCAGAGACATTTATTGTCTTTGATGGCTCGTTTTATCCTATCACCCGTAGTTCAGCCGAAGCATGGAAAATTACTTTGCTAAGTGGCCAATTGATGCAAATCAAAGCAGTAGCCTTCCTTTCCCTGTCAGCATGTCAAACAGAGGTAACTACCTTTTTTTGGCTCTCCAATAAAGTTTGGGAATTCGGAATCAGAGATGTAATCGTCCAAACTAATTGCCAAGAACTTACATCCACTCAACATATTTCCTCTTTTCCAGTAGAAACGCAGGAAGTAGTTTCGAACCTTCGAAATTTAGTGTCTAAATTTCATTCTTGTATAATAGTTAAAGTTCGTAGAAGTGATGTTATGGATATGCATAATATTGCATACTCTAGAATGCAATGTAATAGCCTAGGTACCTTAACGTAATAAACAAATATTTTCTCAAAAAAAAAATAATAATATGGAACAAAATAAAGAAAATATAAAACCCTTATATTTTTTCCTGACATATCCTTAACCAAAAAATTGATACATAGATTACTATCTCTAAGTGTGTGTTCAAATCGCAGTCGTGTTTAAATAAGATAAACATGAGCTCTTTCTTGTTTTATTGAAACAAGTAAAATACATGTATATACTGTACGATTTCATTTACCTATATTAACAATACTTTATAAAAACAAACATTTTGATTTCTCTTTTCCTTTACGTGGGAAGAGATTAATTACCTAAAACAACTGGGATAATCCTACACGTTAATTAGGTATATATGGTCGTATGGACAAATACTAAAACCATTCAGAACCAACAAATCCAATATGAATAAAGCAAAGATCCTATGTAAGGAGTTCCATCACGGAATATGCTTTCGTTGTGATTTCACTCCCGTTTTCCATTAAGCAACCGAATTTCGTAATCAAAATCGTGTAATCATGTTAGTAGAGACTAGAATCGAAACAATCTTCTAGTAATGAGAGGATGGACCATTTTTTACTAGAACCAACACAGCTTTTGGTGAACTTGACCGTGATCTTATTAATTGAATAAAAAAAAAAAGAGTACGTGATACTGGTAAAAAC